AAGCAAATGGGCTGCTACTGATCAACGGGAGTGTTTTTGGCTTCCTGAGTGCATTGGCCAAAAACGCGTTGGCTTTTTATTTACCACTACGGTCCCCAATGAATTTTCCAGCCCAACTCACATTGTGTGAATCTCCGGTCTTCCACTACAAAACTGAAAAGGACGCCAACCAGTTCAATCTAGATCCTCCAGCAGAGAGGTTATAAGGGTACCAACTTTTTTCTGTAGTCTATTCCAGGGGAACGCTCCCAACCAAAAAAGTTGGTGAGAAAGGGCACGACTCGCTGGGGCACCTAGTCGATCCGAACACCTAGGAGTTTGCAGGGCTCGAAAACCCCCGCGGCGAAATCCCGGGAGCGCCCTTCCAAGGGCTTGGGGTTGGCTTTTCTCCAGCCCGGGCTTCGGCTATGCACGGAGAATGGGACCCGCCATTTTGTGTGTGCGTGTTTGCTTTCGGTGTTCCTTCAAACCCCACGAAAGAAGAAGAAGAAGAGGTCATGTCAAAAAAAGAAACACCCATTGTGAGCCCAGATTCATCAACCTGCAGGCGGAGGTTGAAGTGAAGCATGGGACCCATCAGCGGCTCCCATGTGACAGTTGGCCCACTTGATGGGACGGAAGTCCGAAACCAACTCATGTCAAATGCCCAAAGCTCACCTAAGCCGCTTGGCAGCCCACATGGTTGGAGAATGCTGACTTTACACGCCAGACGAACAGCCGGAAGCTTCCAGGAAGGCCTCTTTCAATGGGTCACCAAGTCTTCCAAAGGGTCCTGGAAGCTTCCATGGAATCGCCTGGGGGAGTTTACCTCACAATTTCCAAAGAGATGATTTGGTCCTTGTGACAACAAATGCCAGTGCAACCAGTGCAACCCACATCCATCCCTTCCCCGGAAAGGGGCCTTGTTGAATCAATCGGTCAATGTGATCACTGTGAACCCTGACAGACAACATGCATTTCAATGACCAATGTGGCGTGTGCGCTTTTCGTTGAAAACAAGATGTCACGATCCTGAGGGCTAAACGTGTTGGTGATTGCATGCTTGCCCCTCGTATTGGTGTGGCGTGTTTGTTGAGAGCTCTCCCTTGTGGTGGGTTCTAAGGGACACCAATAGGAAAACACACAATGTTGGGTGGTCCCCTAAGAAAGACACACCCATAGTGTTACCTTACCCGTCACAGATCTATTCGAGACCTAAGCCTTGACCATACACCCATCGGCTGCGGCCAAGCCACCATTGCAAATCTCCAAGCCTCGCGGTTTGCGACGAAGCTTTCCGACCCTTGAGATGGTAGCCAAAAAAAGAACGTGGTTGTTTGCAGTCTTCTACAACAAACATGAACAGAATCAAAAGACCTCAAACGCCTAAAAACATGCGAGGTAACAGTGAAGCAAGACAAAGCAGACTTTGTTGCTCACGCAATACAATTCCAAGTTGATGTATTTATGACTCCAAATCCCAGGCACACTATCGCGTAACAAAATCCCAGCCAACCTTTGACAGCTCCGCAAAGAAAATGTTCTTTGATCGACCCAAAACTGAGTCTGACAAAATGGCTTTATATAAATATATACTGGTCCTTCAGTAGAGAGGTTAGAATCAGGGTACAAGCTTTTTTCAGTAGTCTATTTTAGTAGGGAAAACCTCCCAACCAAAAACGGGGTAAAAGGGCACCTAGCTGGGGGACCTAGTGTATCTAGAGCACGTGCTTCACAAGAACGCGGACTCTGCTGGATCCAAAGGTCGTTCAACTCCACGAAGGGACGAGTAGCATTTTTCAATACGAGTGGTCAGAAAAAGCAACCAACCTGGCTGTTTCCCACTTAATGATCTACCCAGTGGATCCATTTACCTGTACCCTTTAACAACCAAAAGAAAAATAGCGAATGGTTACCTACTTTATCGGCTGGTAACTGGGCTTCGTTAGGCCCAAGCGACTCTTCAGTCCGGTTTCGGAGCGAAACGTTCCTGAGTCAATCAAGTCGTGTGCACTCACGTCCACGCTTCTAGTTGTGAGTTGCCCTTTCCGCAAAGCTTGCACCACAGCGTCCCGTTGCGGGCAGACCCGCTGTAGGTCAAGTGAAGCAAGCAAAATCCATGTTGACCCCTGATTCAAAAACACCAAGCATCTAGCGGGGTTCTTAGGAAACCCCTCTCCCAAGAGGGGCCCTTCAAAATGCTCCCCTGTGGATTGACATGGACAAATCAACTTGCATGTGTTGCAGTTTTCCCCTTTAGTGCTCAATTTGCAAGTTCTCAGGGTGTTCACAAAAACTATGCGTTTGTAGCAATTCCCAAACCAGGACCAAGCGCCATAAAACAAGCAGCCCCTTTCCCCCTAATGAGAAATGACCCTCACCCAAATTCCTTCGTGGTTCCACCACCACCCTTTTTAGTGTAGCTGAGACTTGGTCAAACACAAAACAGGCACAAGAAGAAGTTTTGACCGTCTGAGTAACAAAAGGCCGCTCCGTTACGGGTTCCCGCCAACCAGTGGCACCTGTGACAAGAGGTACCCTCTCTCCCACTAACATGGCAGCTGACAGGGGGTCCCTTAAAAAGGAAACTGATCTTCTAGGTACCCTCCCGCAGGTGCTATGTTTGTGGAGGAAGGGTACGTGGAAGATCAAGTTGGTCTTGAAGGGATCTCCTTGGCGCTACGTTTGTGGGAGCCAGGGTGAATTTACTAGGCAACCATGCAGTGAATATTGACCTTTGCAAAAAATCTGCGAGTTGGGGGCTTGAATACCAACATGAAAAAGCGAACCCAGACCTACCACAGTTTTTCCCCCCAGCCAAAAACAATATCCTCGACTATGGTACATACAGAATGCAAAGTTCCAAAGAGATCTTGGTGTGTAACAAATTCTTGAGGCTGCCCATTTTGCGGTTTGCTTGAAGGACACTTGCATGGGAGAAAAAACAAACGTTGGGTTCCTATAGTTTGAACAACCCCACCCCCGAGACCCTGCCTGTACACCGGGCTACAGCGCAAGCGCAGCCGCATGGCCCCAAAAACGCGCCGAGCCGCGTGTGCTTGGACTCGTTAGTCCCAAAACTCCAACACGAGGGCTCGGAGACATCCACCATGACAAGCAACTAACAGTAACTAACACCAAAAGCTTTGGACAAGTGGAATATACCCAAATGCAAAGAACCAGACATGCACCGCAAAACCGAAGGCAATCAGGCTGTGGCACATGCCTCCGCACAAGCCAAAGTTGCAGTGGTCTTCCATGACGGGAATATTCCAGACTGCAAGTTCCAGTGATTTGCAAACATTTGTTGACCCCAATCGCTTTTTACTGACAAACCATATCTTTTTAACAGTTGAACCATATGTTTTATCAAGTGCTGACAGTACATGGCGCAAAATCGGCGAGTTGGTTTTGCTCCCGGAAGATCGCTGGTGCGAGCGGAGATCGGTTTTCAAAAGGCAGAGCCATAGGCAGAGCCATTGCAGCTCGTGCGCTCGGGTTACCCCCCCGAATTTGGTTGGTTTTAAAAGGGGAAGCCAACAAGAACCCGCGATTTTTAACAGGGCCCCTTTATACAGGCAAGCCATTGAAGCTGTTCCATGGCCCTTTCTTGACATTGAATTTAAAGCAGCCAAAAGCAGATGAACGATTGGGGCCAAAGGGCTCAGCAGTTCCACATGCCGAACCTGTGATCGTTCAGGTAACCCTGTACAGGCTAGTTAATTGATTCCACTTGCCAAGAGAACCATCCATCCACAACAAAAGGACAATGGCGAAGGATTACCTTCCTTTCGTAGGTTTCCATTGGAACGCTGTCCCAGCGACATCCGCTAAAGGATCGCTCCTGCTTCGCCCTTTGCAAAGGGGGTCGCCCCTGGTGTCTTCAAAAGAACCCCAACCGATACGCTGCTTCCCCCTCCCCAAACAAAAAAACAAGTGCACCCATGTAATGATTGAATGCCAAGAAACAAGTTCAGTCCCACTCAACAGGGAACCCCGCAAGTTTTATAGAGATTCAACATGAGGGGACGTCAGAAATCATGCCGGTGGAACTTCGAAAGGTATGGTAATGTAGCAATGCACATAGTACGCGCAAAGGTGGCTGTCTCCATTTATGAATCGTCCGCCCTGAAGATACCCAAATTTTAACTTTGGCACTTGCAACCAAAACTCATAGTTTGGTTCCCCAAGAAAACACATGACTTTTTGTCTGGCACAGCCTCCTGGTTTCGGAGTTGAATTGTTGTGTCCTTCCAACAACCAACAGACTACCAACACTGTCAGTTGCTCATGAGAGCTGCGCCCAAAGCCCGCTGACTCACGATCTTCATAGTGGTGGTTCGCCGATTCCCTTTGTTGAACGGACGCATGGGCCCCTTCCGCGAATCCTTCTGCACAGCTTCCACGCTGTGAAGGGTACCTTCCGCCTGCATGTGTCTTTTGACGTACTTCCTTCCGCAGACAAGTTGTTTCTGGAAATTGAGGAAGGTATGAGCGGCGCAAAGAAAATAAGCACCGCTCATATGGGCCTCCCGGCCTCCCTATATCTCCACAAAACAACAGGGAGAAACACCTACTAAAACAAGCCAACGGGTTAGACGCCATGGGATTTAGGGAAATGTGACTGAGATTCATCTGCGAGGACTCCAGGATCTCTTCGAAAAGAAAAAGGCCTACTCAAATGGTGTGCGGGTAACTGGGGCTAACCACCAAACTACACGAAAATCTAGGCAAAATCATCGAAATAAAGCAGGCTTGACCAAAGCATATCAATATCAAGCTGAATGGATACACTTGTCCTTGTAAGCGCCCCGACGAGTGTGATTCGCAACACATGCTGCTGTGGCTCAAATGAAGGGACCGACTCCTCCACAACATTGCGATTTCCCGCTGCTGTCCCCTTCGAAGCATCCAACATCCAGAATCGGGGGGTGGGGTCCGCATTTTTGAGAAAGACCGTCCTGGGCGTAAGAATATGCAAAAATACTTTTGGATGTCGCTGCCTTGGCCACTCTTTGCGCGTGACGATGATCGGTGCGGCGCTTGCCGACGTCTTAGCAGCGCCGAGCCAGGGTTCTGATCTGAGAATCTGAAGCAAGCAGCTCTCATGGCAGGTCCTTTGGAGACGTGAGCACCCAGCAGCTGCACTCGTCCCAGGTCTCTACGTGGCTTACCTAAGTTTATGAAGCAAGAAACAAGTGGAGGTTGAACATGTTTAAACATCCAACAAACATAATAACAACGAGTGGTTTCATGTGCTAAACTTCTCGATAATCCATCAGTTTCCAAGACAACCTGAGCGATTGGCACACAACCCAATCCCAAAAGATCCTATCAGAGCCTCTGGGCTCTCAAATCGGGCCCCGCAAGAGGGGTTGCTTCCTCTTTCTTTCCCCTTAAGCCCAAACTTGATGTGTCCAAGGGTACATCCAAAGAATCCACCCCCAGCGGATTGAGTTGGTCAGAATCCCTTTGTTCCTTAAAGTGCGTTACATCACAAAACCAGCCATTGAAAGACTCAACGGACCTATGCAACCTATTCAATCAGTTTCCGTTTTCTTCGCCACAACTAACGCTCAATTGACCCATAAACCCTGGGTTCATACCAGGGGTTCATATAGTGTTTGAAGGAAAAAACAACAACAAACAACAAGCAGAACAAAACACAAATAAAGCAACCGACAAAAACAAACGGAACAAAACACACAGAAATCAAAGAAACAAACACAAACAGAACAAAACACAAAGAACACAACAAACACACACAAACCGAACAAAACGCAAAGAACACAACAAACAAACAAACAAACAAACAACCAACCAAACAAACAAACAAACAAACAAACAAACAAACAAACAAACAAACAAAACAAAGCAACACAGCACACAACAAAAAAAAAAAAAAAAAAACAACACACACACACACAAAAAACAACAACAACACAAAACAAAGCAAATAACCAACTAAACAAACAAACAAACAAACAAACGAACAAACAAATGAACGAACGAACGAACAAACAAACAAACAAACAAACAAACAAAACAAACAAACAAACAAACAAACAAACAAACAAACAAACAAACAAACAAACACACAAACAAACAAACCGGACAAAATGGGGAAGCCACATGCTTGAGCTCAGCCACGGAGAGGCCGGCCAATGCCACCAGCACCCCCAAGTGCTTCTCCGGGCGCGTGATGTCAAAGCGCCCCTCCTGCCGTGACTTGGCGATGGGGGGGGAGCGTTTTCGGGAACCAAAGCTAAGTCCTCCAGTAAACCGAAAGCGAAAGGAACACCAAGTGAAAAAGCAGGGGACAATGTTGGACGAAAACGGAAAACCAAATGAAATTAGAAGTAAACAAAGTTCAGCGGAGAAAAGACAAGGGAAACAGCAACGAATATCGTTCACCAAGTGCCTACCCTGTTAAAGTCCCAGTCCTTGTTCGGGGTGTCCATCTGGAAGCACTCGCTCTGACTGTACCTCACCCCAGCCATGCGGCGTTCCGGTTGTTCACAGGGAGTAAGGGGCAGCCTTTTTGCTTACCCACTTCCTGAGTGCATTGGCGAAATGTCTAGACCTGGGTCACATCTGGGGTACACGAAGCCTGGAATAGTCGTGGAGGAGACCCCTGTTCTAAGGGTTGATTCCCCATTCTTTCCAACCATCGGTCCTTTCGAAAACCGGATCCGTTTCCCTGGGTTTCCGGATCTGCCAATTTCTTAGCTATCTTCCCACAAATTGGTGAAGTCCAGGAACTCGAGCAGTGGGTTCGCTTCAGCAACGCACGCAGCTGACATGTTGCTCGGGTCCACTTCCCCGTGCTTTCCGTGGATCTTTGTGTTGTCGCATTGTCAAACAAGGGACTTTTGTCGGCTTCCCACACGAACTCTGGGTGAACTATTTGTGGGGATCAATCTAAAACAGGCCGAAGTGTGTTTTGCTTCTCCCCGGACTGAAAAAAGAAGTTGGTCGTCTCTGGGCATGAAACAAAACTCGGTTGCTTTCTGCTCCCCTGCTAAAAGTTACTTTTTTAGTGGTTTAATACAGAAAACCCATGTTGGCAAAAAGTTAAAGTCCTAACATCCCTTGGCAAAATGAACCAAAGAGAATGCTCCCGAAAAGAGTTGGTGCCCCTCTTCCATTCGCGTAAGACCCCTGAAAAATGAGAACATATTTTACGTAGTGATCGATTCCCTTTAAAACCAACAGGGGAAAATAACAAACATATTCTTAAGCGAATGGAAGTGAAAGTTTCCTAAAATAACTCACCGCCCTCCCGCCCCGGCTGGATATTTGCCTCTGCTCCCAAAAAAAGAGTCTAAGAAGGGGCTGGGAAATGGACAAGATTCATTTCAGCGAATGGAAGCCCTGGGCCAGGCTACACCGGTCGATTCTCTTTCAAGAGGATGATGCCTTCTGGCCGGAGGCTGCTGGCCAGCCGCTGCAGCAGATTCACCACGTCTGCGTCGATGAGGTATTGCAGGGTCCACTGGATCCAAATCCTTACCGCCCACGGTACCTTTGGGTCCGTTTTGAGGGCTTAATTTGACCACATACCCGATTCGAGGGAGATCCAGGGTTGATCTTCTCACCAGTTCGCTGAACAACAAGTACCGAAAAGAGGGGTTTCTACACACAACTGTGGATGGTTGCAAAATCAATCTCGCACCACCTTTCAGAAACCATAGAATGATTCGATTCCCCAACGTAAATACCAACAAACAATGGTTTCAACCATGGTTTCAAAGTGGTGCAGGATTTTGTCCATCCACAGGGGAGGGCTGAGGAGAGGTTGGGGTTAGGGAATTCCCCCTACCTTGAGGAAGGGAGTGGGGGGTCCCCCAATTCCATTGATCTAGTCTTCCCAAGGGAAAATGGAACGATAACTGGAATTTAAGGGGTCACCCCCCTCCCCAATTCCATTTTTAAGGGGCTGGGAATGTTGGGGCAGGGGGGAAGAAGGGAAGGAAGGGGGGAAAGTTGGGGGGGGAGGGAACGGGGTTAGTTGATTTGTGGATTTCGCATTGGGGGCAATCTGGTGGACATCGTGCCGGGGTTTTGTGTTCTCCAATGAAATTGCAAAAATTGGCCCCCTCGCACGGTTTCAAAAGATCGACTGTGTTGGGGGTCCACCGAAAGAAAGACAAACAGGGCTATGCGCCAAAAGTAATGATCAACACAAGAAACCCAAGAAACAAACCCAAAGAACACAAACGGAAGCCATAAGGAAACCCCGACACGAAGCCAAAGGTCCCCAAACGGACGGCAACAGGAACGTTCGAAATTGAGCATAAGTCCACATCTTGGGATTTGCAAATCACCCAATGGGTGGTTTCTCATTGGCTTTTCCTTTCAACATGTTCAATCACAAAAACTGTATGATCATTATTATTTCTAAAACACACACAAACAAACACACACACACACACACACACACACAAACACACAAACACACAAACACAAACACACAAACACAAAAACACACAAGCACACAAGCACACAAGCACACAAGCACACAAGCACAAAAGCACAAAGCACACAAGCACGCAAGCACAAAAGCACACAAGCACGCAAGCGCAAAAGCACACAAGCACACAAGCACACAAGCACACAAGCACACAAGCACACAAGCACACAAGCACACAAGCACACGAGCACACAAGCACACAAGCACATAAGCACACAAGCACACAAGCACACAAGCACGCAAGCACAACAGCACACAAGCACACAAGCACACAAGCACACACGTACACAAGCACACACGCACACAAGCACACACGCACACAAGCACACAAGCACACGAGCACACAAGCACACGAGCACACAAGGACACGAGCACATAGGCACACAAGCACACAAGCACACAAGCACACACAAACACACACACATACACAACAACACACAACCACACAACCACACAACCACAAACACAAACACAACCACAAGCACAAGCACAAACACAAGCACAAGCACAAACACAAACACAAGCACAAGCACAAACACAAGCACAACCCCAACCCCAACCCCAACCCCAACCCCAAACCCAAACCCCAAACCCAAACCCAAGCACAAACACAAACACAAACACAAACACAAACACACACACAAACACAAACACAAACAGAAACACAGACACACACACACACAGACACACACAAACACACAGACACACAGACACAGAGACACACAGACACACAGACACACACACACACACACATCTTTCCTGTCAACATGTTCAACCACACACACTTTATGATCCCTGCCATTATTTCCGTTTCTTTTTTTTAAGGATATACCTCCCACCCCTGAGTTTTCGCGAAACCACGAATATCTGAGGCTCACATCAAAGGAGGTCTCCGGCTGAAACTCCTCGAGCCGACCTGGGTGGTTTGCGAGCCGCGAGTGTACCACGAATCTGGTCTTTCCAAAAAGTATAAAGTTCAACTCAGGGATCGCTAAGTCTGGCAATGGTAGTCAGCCCAACTTTAGGTATGGTATAAAACAACTTTGTTGGTGGCAGCCTCCTGCCAAAATCAACGGAACCCAGAAACCTGAAAATCTAAACAAATGCCAATAGCAGTAAAGTAACTCTGCACAAAGCTGCACCTCTTCGCATCGTGTCCCAAGTAGGTCTGTGCAGCTTTCAGCCACTTGGCCGACTGGTCAACCAGCGTCACCTGAGTCAGTGGCCTCCCTTTCAGGTAGGCTTAATGTTGACCCTGGATTATTGAACCACAGTTGCCAGGGGCATCCTGATTTACATGAGGACAGGACAAAAGACGATATACGGATATAAACTGGGTAAACCCCTCGGGGTGTTCCCGATATTTCCAACCACAAACCAACGACTGGTATCAAGGAGGTCTGCCCAGAACTATTTATCAGCAAAAGAGCTTATTGCCGCATCTACTGTTGGTATTGGTATACTGCCACCTGGAAACACCAGGTTGGCCTTTTGGGGCCTCAAATGCGAAATGGAAAGCTCAAAAGGTTGATCCAGGTCGATTTGTTTGGACAAATGGGTCTCTCTTTTTTTGGGGGACCCCCCAAAATCGTGGTTTGCCTGTTGGTTTTCCTTTTGAACCAAAAAAAGGAAGGGGTAGCATCAAAAAAATCGACACCCAACTGCACCAAAACGAGTTTTGAGTCACAGTTTGCACTGCAGGCAGCAGAACCGCCTTGGACACGCGCCCAAGACCCGCGCCCACATCCAGGGCAGCCAGCGCCCGACCCGACGCGGCGAGCGCCGAGTCCGCCAAAGCACTGCGCAGAAATGCCGCGGAGTGCGCCGTGTCTTCCTGCTTCGTTTGTGTGGGCCGGTCTCTTTTTTGGCTTCCCTTGAAAACAACCCCAAAAAAGTACCAGGAAACATTCGGACTCACCCACTGCTGGCCATAAACCCGCCAAAACAAGGGAACAAACTAGGGAACAACCCCACACCAAACCGAAGAAGAATTGACGGCAAGCCTTTGCTCTCGAAATCTCAAGGTCCGGCGTCCTTAGTCTCGTCGTCGCCGATCATGGCGCCTTCCAATGTTTGTCGGCCTTCGTAGCCTTCCAGCCACCACCTCACTTGCCCAAAGGACCTGGAAACAAAAGGTTAACCTTTTGGGGCCATGACTTAAAGTGGACCAAAACGGGAAACCAAAAGGTCAAAAGGTCGGCTTTGGGCAACTCAGCCACTCCTCGTTCACCTTGTAGAACTTGTCTCTTTGCTGGCCCTGCACCAGCCACAGCTCGCACAAGTTCTCGTACCTTGCATGCGCTTGCTTTTTCTTCGGGCCACTCAACATGCTGGCTTTCATGTTGGCCCAAATTGCGAAAACTCGCAAGAACGGTACATACAATCCACAAATCGTACATTTGCCCTAGCCTAGGCCTCCAATGGACCGGTGATCGGGGACAAGTGTCACTCAATATCTTTGAAGGGAAGCCACCTCAAATGAAAAGGCGAAAACAGCATGCGGAGGTCTGGGCTGAAGCAACACCTCACCAGTCACAGTAGATTCGACCGGCCCTAGGGAAAACGAAAATACTTTTGGCACGAAACACGAAAAATGCCAACAACAAAAAAGAAAGGGAAAACAACGCAGGACCTTAAGCAACTAGGTACTTGCGACCTGCATCGTCTTCTCCCCGAATCTCTGCCCCAAGTACACGCAGCCGTTGAGTCAGAGACTCTTTGGGCTGGACAGGGGCACACTTCACTCGTTGAGTCCGCGTCGGCCTCTTGCCCATGGCAAGCGTCTGGCATCTTAAAGCCTGAAAGCTATGATTTTCTTGTTGCACAGGTGGCTGGCATTGCTTCATGTATCTTCATGTGTTGCTTGCTACCATTAAAAGATGACAACTAGTACAGGTTTTAATGCTTAAGAAACAAGTCAGAAACCAGGTGTATGCCCTCAACTTGGGTGAATGAACAAGGCATGGTCTTTTTCGTGTTTAGCGCTGCAGCCTCGCCCTAGCCGTGCTGAGTCGGTCTAGAGCGCTGTTGCTTAATTGATCTTGCGTTGTCTGCCCATGTGGGCGAAGTTTCAGAGCCGGGCGCGTTGTTGACCATCACAGCAGCATTGCCCTGGGAGAATCAAACTGATTCACTGATTCACCGTACGAACCTGACACGGGCTATACAATTTCATAGGGGTTGTGAACAAATTTATCCCCACCGAATTGTGTCTACAGACCCGCGCCACGAAGTATCATATTTCTGGGCTGTCCTCAGATCCCCCGCCAAAGGTTTAAGTTTAACTTTTAATGGGTTGATTAAATGGAATCCCCCACTAAACACTAAAAAGCTAAAAAGCTAAAGGGATGGCTGGGAGCCACCAAGATATTATATCCCAATGACGGAAAAATACCGTGGTATCCTTTTCGGATGCTAGAAGCAAAAGGATGCCAGTCATTTCGGTAGGTTTCCCTACCACAGGAGATACAGCCACATGATCCGCGACTTGAGATCTGAAGAAACAACCGTGCGAGCCATACAGACTCAGGGAGATCTCTCCAGGGTCCCATTACAGTGTTTTTAGGAAATCGATTGGTAAAGGATTGTCAAACTGCAACCAGTGCCATCTACTCAGACGTTTGGAGTTTCCTTAACGCAGCGAAAAAGGACGTGGAAGGTTTGGATCAAGCTCATAAGCCCGGATTCATAAACCTGGGCCCCCTCCAAAAGTGATGATCCCCGACCAACTAAAAGGGCACACCACCCAATAAAGCAACCAGGGGCTTATTCATCCGGGGTCCCCATTGAAAAGGACGGCAGGCTCCTGAAGATCGATTTTGGCACCCGCGGCTTGCAAGACATGCGCAGGAGCAGTGACACACAGGTTGCCCTGGCCGACAACCGGCAACCTGTCGGATCAACCGAACGAAAACAACTCGCAGAGATCCTTTCGCTTTCATGGCAGGATAATGAATGTCAAACTGCGTCTGCGACAACACGCATATACCGAGTTGGGGGCAGGAAGTCCTTGACGAATTCCATGAAATTCCACAGGCGAAATGGTGGACCCTGTGACACAAATCCAGTGCAAAACATATCTCACCGACCTGACGTGTCATCTAGCCTCTATAACTTCACGTGCGTGCCTGCTTCCACATAAAACCTCAGTTTGTGCAGTGACCCAGGAAAAAAACAGGGATTTTTTTTGGGGAAGACCATTTTTAGTGGGCAGCCACCAAAAAAAACGGGGAAAAAAGGTGTCACTGAACAACTGACCAACTGAACAAACAAGGTGTCTCTTCCCCCTGAGCAAAAGGCCTAGCTGTTTGTAGGTTTCATGGAAAAGCGATTTGTTTTCACAAGGTCTGAGGGGCGAAGGGCATACCAAAAACCAGCCATGAAAGCTGGTGTTCATTTGTTCTTGTCGGGGTTCTTGCACCGCACCAACTGCAGAACGGTTGTCATCTCCCAATATGCTTGCAGCAATCCGTTCAACAAATGGGTATGTATCAAAATAGGGAAACCCCAAAGAAGCCCCCGCTTTCTTTTTTGGTTTCCCTTCGCCTCAAAAACACCTAAATCGTTCAGATTGCTTTCGGCCATGTTCCGGGCCTTTCAACTAGCTTTTGGCTTCACGGTGATTCACGCGATAAGACTGGCGAATCGACCTGCAACTCCTCAGCGCGCTTGGAGCAAAAGTGGCGCGGTTTGCAGCGGGCCGATTTGGCTTGGTGCGGTCGGTAGTAGGAAATCACAACGAGTCCGGGTTTTGGATTCGAAGGAACCGGTTTTGGAATTCTTTCAAGGAAACCATAGAACATGGATGATCTTTCTTGGGGGTCATTCCATTTCTCATTCCCTGCCCGCAAACCAGCAAGTTGGTTTCCCTGGGAGAAAAAAAACGGAGTACACTCAAAAAGACGTAACCAAACAGAGTTGGGTGCAACTTGGGCTTTCCGAGATGGCCAAGTGAAAGACCAAATGCCGCGGCTTTCCACATGTGCAACGGTAAACGGGTCTTTGAATCAATGCAAGCCATGCATATGAGCCAGCGTCTATATTTGCTGTGTGGGGTGTATTCATTCTACTTTTAGTGAGTCCCCTATCGTTCTCCACGTTTCGCGTGTTCGTGCTGTGCCCGATGAACCCTCTGCAGGGATCGCGCGCCTCGAAGCGCTCCCACTGTGGCGCCGTGCGAATTTGTAAAGCGCCCGATGAACCCTCTGCAGGGATCCAGCGCGCCCAAGCGCTCTCGCTGTGGCGCCGTGCAAATTCGTAAAGTGCCCAATATGAACCCTCTGCGAGGATTGCGCGTGTCAAAGCGCCCTCGCTGCGACGCCGTGCGAATTTGGAAAGTGCCCGGCGAACCCTCTGCAGTGATCCTGCGCGCCCAAGCGCTCTCGCTGTGGCGCCGTGCAAATTCGTAAAGTGCCCAATGAACCCTCTGCGAGGATTGCGCGTGTCAAAGCGCCCTCGCTGCGACTCCGTGCGAATTTGGAAAGTGCCCGGTGAACCCTCTTCGCGGTGACCACGCGTGCCCAAGCGCTCTCGCTATAGCGCCGCGCGAACTCGAAAAGCACCCGACAAACTGGAACCACACGCGTAGTCTTTTGTAAGCAAATGCACTAGGCCTCACATTTGCAACTCGGGCCAATGCTCGGGGTATCGACGGGGTATCGACCGGGGTATCGTTCTGGGCGTGTGTCGCGTGACGAAAATTTTCACAATTTTCCATAAGCTGTTAGAGCCAAGCAAACACACAATAGCCTTCTCTGCCTTGCGGTAATCATATATCAGTCTTGGCGGCTTGCTTGCTGGCAGCAACCTCAAGGTCGCAAGTCGCAACTTTCACCACAAGCGCAGTGCACAAGTTACACTTCGGCAGCTCCAGCTCGAAGGTCGCAGCTTGCGGCGGTCACGTGTCAGTCTAAGCGGCTTTTGCTTGCTGGCAGCAACCTCCAGGTCGCAAGTCGCAGCTTTCAGTACAGGCACGGTACACAAGTTACACTTCGGCAGCTCCAGCTCGAAGGTCCAGCACAAACCATGTTCAAGGGTATCGTTTTTTGTGAGTCCCCTATCGTTCTCCAAGGAAAATGCAAAAAACCAGTATTGAATGAAACGCCGTTGATAAAGTGGTCTTTGATAATTCTGAGGTTGACTCATATGCATCAACAGAGCAGCCCAATGCACGGCCGGAAAGGTCGCCGAAATATCATGGTTGAGATCAATTGTTTGCTCCTATCATAATTAAATGAAAGTACCATACAACACCATTCTGATGTATCAGATTACGACTATTTAGATGATTCATTCTTTTGCCCGCCAAGTTTGCCCAACTCTGACAAACATTGGTTTTGCGTTCGGGGACCAACAGCCACAATCCCAATGTTGCTGAAAAGCGTGAGGCAATAATTTATATCGAGAAAGGGAGGTCTCAGAGTGTTTTTCATATGGTCGCTTCAAGTCTCACTTGATCACCCCCGCACCAGACTCAGCAAAGTACTCAAATGCTTTGAGCGAGACGCTGCCTCATGCTAGCTAAGCTGTGGTATCAGGGTCGGTTCAACCGCCTGTTTGTAAATCAGTCAGTTGATAAACCAGTTGGAGGAATCCCCCGCCTTGGGGATCTGCGGATTCCTTTTTTGATCCCGAAAAGGGCAAAGAAAAAGCGCACCCATCTACAAAGATGTTTGTTTGGCAACGCCCCTGGCAGGAATGGCTCATCCCCCAAACCGTTGGGGTCCATGCTCAAGGGTAACATGAGTTTTTTCCTCTCACGCTTCAAAACACCAACTTGCACCACCTCTATAGGACAGTTGATGAGCAGGTTGGAGTGGACAGACTGATCCGAGCAAGTGACAACTTGTTGCTAAGGGGAAGCAAAGGAACACCACGGCAAGCGCCACGTGAAAGAGGCAAAGTCTCGTAAGGTTGATGCAGTCAACCCGTCAGACCAGGGACGTCCCATTGGCAACGTTGCCTTTGCCTTGTGCAGTGGTTTTGTTTGCCTAGTAACGAATCATACCAGCCTTGAGAAACGCAAACAAAAAGCTGGCTGCCATAGGTAACTATACCACCTTAGCTTTTGCACCCCAAAGAAAAACACAGGTATATTTGATTCTGGACAGTACTACGTAAACCTAAAAATATTAAAAGCAAAGGTACAGAAGGGGATTCGTTGCCAACAGCGAAACTCCGATCTGGGCTCCGCACTACTTCTTGGTGCGGTTCTTCTTTTTCACCAACGCTGCTGCCTGGGGCAATCTGCGAGCGCCCAAACCTGACTTCCACCTGTACAGAATTCCGGCCAGTGAACCAGAGGTTCAGGATCTAAGGAATATGGCCATATATGGCCATGAATCAAAATCCCGGTTGCCCCCCAGTGAACATCCCAAACCCCACTAGAATAAAGCCTAAAATGGGTGGTGCACCTACCCCAAAATGGGATCCCATTATTGGTATTGACCCACAGCCATATCTGGCACGAAAAGCAGTCTAGTCATGTCTGGCGGCTTAGTATAGGGCCTACATACTTGGAATGGGGTTGTCAGGTACTTCAAGGCCAAAACTACATCATGATTGATCAGAACGACCACAACGCTGCCATTGAGTCGCCCAATCTGTTCCCCTCTCGGTCCGCAAATGCACTTGATCGCGTTCATGTCCAAGTCCGCGTGCTTGACGGATTGTGGCAACGACGAAAAAATGCATACTATTTTTTGAGTTCATAGCCACATGGTGTCATTCAATTTTGACAACGCAGGTTAGCAGTTTGCACGGCTGGCTTGGACAAAAGCATGGGCTATGCGTGGGTTCGGGGTGGGTTTTGGGTGGGTTTCAGAAAGCCCTAGGGGGCATGGCTCTGGCAACTTTTTGGGTAGACGTTTGGATAGGGAACGGGGCCGTCCTGGTTGGAATTCATGTCCACAAACCACTTTCAGAGTCTTCCGTTTCCGCTTGTGATCCCCGCCTGCGTGTCAGGAGTTCGGCTTTTGTCCTGAACATGTGGGTGAAAAAAAGCGCAGCTAAGCCCCAAAAGATTGGCATCGAAGCCGACAAACAACAAATATGGTTATTTATGGAGGGAATCTCCCTTGGGGAGAATACATTTTTCTTTTTTTGGGTTCCATGTTACTTTGCAGGGAGTTGAACTTCCCATACCTCGCTTCCGCGAATTGCCACTGAAATGGCCTGCCCAAAAAGGTAGGCCCAGGCAAGGAGTGAGATACATGATTTGTCCTTCCAAAGGGATCGTTGCATTTCCTGTGTTTGGGCCCATTGGCGTCGGTCTTGAAATTAGTGGTATGTGGAGGTTGAAAAAGTATTCCTGGCCCCAAAGTGACCATGGGTAACTTTTCTCATTGAGCGGGAAATATCATCTTTTTTGTGGGTTCCCATGTAAAGGACCTTTTGATCAACCCCCATCCTGTCTCTATAGTCGCTGGCACCAAAAGAGTTGCCCGTGGAAAATTCCACTCCCATACCACAAATGGGCAGCAATCCATCAGGACAGGCTACAGCTGCTGCTCGCCGGGGATCCATTCCGAAACCATACCACGGGTCCCAAAATGACAAGGCGAGTCAACGGGCAGGGAGATGATACACCCAACTGTCTGGCAAGAGCTCTCGGGATGACATCTAGTCTCCAAAACTAAGGGCGCCAGTCGGGTCGTCACTAAGAGATGAAAGAGATGCACCAGCCGCCTTTCTCCATCAGTGCTCGTTTGACGTCGGGCCGTCTTTTGAGAGGGTACAGTACCCTTTTGGGCTGGCACGAAGGGAAACCAAAAGAAAGCCGCCCCTGTTTGCAGTCCCCCTGTTTTGACACGAACCCACGTTGTGTACTTCCTGGGCGCGGACCGGCATGCCGTTCAAATGAACTGATCAATCTGCTGAGGCTATCAAAAGGCCGCACAACCGGCCCGTTCCACCGTTTGCCCTGGGCCGGCTCGTCTAAAAACCTGGCAACCCCTTGAACCTCCTGAAAGAACGGAACTCAAACAATTCAATAATATTACCTTCCAAGGCTTTTTGCAGCTAGCACGCCCCAAGCTGCTGCAACGCAAAAGTCAAAAGATTCCGACTATCGTCGGTCTCAGTACCTAAAGATTTCCCCTGCAAACTAGTCGGCCCCAGCTGTCAAGTTGACAGCCGTCCAAGAAAGTAATGTCAAGTTGAAAGCCGGCCAAGAAACAAATGTTCATGTACAATAAGGGGCTAATTCATTTGCTTGACATGTTCCTATGCCAATGACTTCTAACTTGGCTCTATTGCAACCCCCCCAATCGGTTGGGCCCTTGTAGTTGGCAAAGAACCGAGCGCCCGGCTGAAAGGCCAAAACCGACTGACACCGAAACCCACAATAAATCGAAGAGGGTTATATGTATATATATATATATGGTTTATGTATACTGTATACAAATTGTGATGTTGGTGGTTTTGAACATCACCTGGGGTGATGTAAGGGAGATATGGGGAGCCCCGTCGAAATGAAACGTTTAGCTGGCCTTTGGTGGAGTATTCACCCAAATGTTAAACACTTGCTTTTGGCCCAAAAGTTGAACAAACTCAGGGTTATGTAACTGGTTTTTGCTTTTGGAGTTGATGTCCCATTTTGGGCCAAAGTTGGCCCACAGTTGAGCAAACTGAGGGTTGATCTTTGTCAACCGTCCTTCCGGACACCAGGCTCCTGGTCTTTGGTCGTCATCGTACACCAGTTCCCATAGTAGGTAACCAAACAAAGCCACGATGTAAAACCTAAAGGTGGTCATACCTAGTTCCCTACTATATCTAGGTCCTTCCCCCAAAAAAGGGTGAGAAAGGGCACCTAGCTGGGGGACGTAGTAAAGGTAGTCATACCTACTATTATATGTAGACACAAGTGCTTGGTCTGAAACTCACCCGCCCGCGCCGTCCTCAATGGCGAAGTCCGGATCTGCAAAGAGCGCCTTCGGTTTCGACGTGGTGAGCACGGTACGTCCCTTTTGAGGAACGCGGAAAAGGAACCCCAGGAAATCTGCCCCTATTCTGGGCATGTTTCACATATTTTCACATAATTCAACTTACCCCAGCTTTAATTTGCCCAGTTTGAGCCACTTCTCATTGCTCCCAAATCCACCCAACGCGATCGGCAGGGTCGAAAAATCCTCACTGGTTTTCGGGGAACCCAAGAACAACTTGCACGCGATTCGCCGCTTTTCGTCCGCCTTTTTCCATAAACAAGTGTATCCTATGAGCAGACCTTCATGATGACAAATGGTGGGTTCGAAGCCCGTTTGTACACCGAGTTGAAAGTAGATGGCACAATATATTTGTAGATCATACCTACCTTCCCCTCTCTGCAAATGCGCCATGGTGAAGCGAAGCCCCGAATGCGTGGATCATGGTCATAGCTCCATTTCTAGTAACCTTTACGTTGGAACTAAAAAGGAGCGAAACCAAAGCAACCCCGCCGAATGGGGTGTGTCTCAATATAAGAGGGAGCCCCCAAACAAATTGTGCTTCCCTTCGGTTTCCGTTTAGACCAACCCTAAGGGTATCCTGAAAAACAACACGGACCTGATGTCAATGGACGGAATCCTGCACCACCGTTCAGAAACCCTGGAATGATTCGATTCCCCAACGTAAACAACAACGAACGTTTTGGATTCAACCATGGCTTCGCTTCGGGGAGCGAACGGATTTCGCATCCATCCACAGCATGGATAACGGGGTCTTCCCCTCCAAAAGTGGTCTGATTCCCCACTAAACCCAAAAACACCCCCTAACAAACTGGGGTTGATCAATCTGGGCCCTCAGACCCCCACCCACGGCTAAAAGTTTAACTTTCAGTGGGTTAAACTCGGAAACTACCACTGAACACTAAAAGCTAAGGAACCGGATGGCTGGCTTCGCCACAGGTAATATGGAGTCAACATGTTTGGGTTTAACGCGGTCCGCTTCCGGCCTGGAAGCGCTGATCTTCGAGGATCCGCTTCGCCTTGTCCGCGGCCTCGTTTGATCCAACCCGCGCCGGGGGTACGCGCCGAAAAACCAATTTGGTGGCTCAAACTGAGGGGGCCTTATTGGGATGGGGGACCCTTTCTTGGAATCGCATTACGAAACAAAAGCACATCACCTTCCTGGATGAGTCACCCACTTTTCAGACACACCCATTTTATATATACTAGGTCCCACAGTAGAGAGGTTAGAATCAGGGTACCAGCTTTTTTCCTGTAGGGGAACCCTCCCCCAAAAAAGGATAAAAGGGCACTACTGGGGGAACCTAGTTTCTTAATATTCTCAATTGGCCGAAAAGGCGAAACTAAACGTTCAAATCTGGTCGAATCCTTTTAGCTACAAGTGAGTGGTTTGGAGGCGACCCCACAGTCCTCAATCTGCAACCTTGTGACTAGCTCCAGTAACTTGCCGTGACAAGGGAGCGCTGAGGAAATGATCAAATTTGTCAATTAAGTCGCTGCCATACGACAGGACCCGGCGTCCAGAATGGTGGCTTTGCTTTTGGCCTCTCTGAAATCAGGTACCTCAAAGAAATACATCATATTACATCCGGATCGCTGTGACCGGTGTCCGCTCGAATGGCTTCCCTGCCTCCTTCCTCTTCTTGGAAGCTCCGGCAGATGTGCCTGCAAGCTACACAAACACCCGGACGCAATGCGGCAGGACTCCAACTTTCATGGCCTGGGAGTGAGCTCACTGGACAGGAAACACTTCGAAGTAGTGGTGCCAATCATGTATCAAATCCCCAAAACACAGAAGTACTACGTAAGGCTCAGAAGGCCTAAATAAGTCTGACGCAAGAACTAATATGGGGTCATAGTGCCTATTGTGTGGCGGTTTTGGAGTTCTCCACAGGCCCCACCGGTTGTGTAAGCACCTCTGTCCCCCGATGTGACTTTCTTGGGCCATGTGTCAACGTGATTGGGCGCTACAAACAAACCTCAGCTTCCCCGCAAGTGGTGGTTTGGATTGGTGGTTTGGTGGTTAAGAGGTGATTTCTCATTTACCCTCCATCAGGGCCAGGGGTTCAAAATCAAATCCAAGCCACCAATCTAAACCACAAATTAGGGGTTGCCTAAAAACCAACTGAAACTCCGGCTTCTTGCGGAAACAAAAACACTTGAAGGTGAGGCTGTCTGCATACTACAGCGATGCAGCCATTCAGAAGTTCGGATATCGGAAGTCTCTTTCTCTCTCTCAATGCCTTCCTCCACTGTGAAGAATGAGAATAGCCGAGAGGTCTAGGGGAAGCTTCCCCATTCCTTCCCGGGCTCCTTTTTCTCGGTAAACCATCAAAAACCCGGGTTGGAAACTCTCAACCCGTCCTGCAAGGTTTGTCTCTGGTTTTTGCACCAACCGCTATGCGGAATCTGGCAAAGGGTTGTTGCCGCGGATGATCCGGTGGCCCCCTCGATCTCAAAAGTGGCCAGTAGATTCATCCTGGGTTGCCATCAGTGGAAGAGTTTGGACAAGGCGGAGTCCAAAACCACTGAACATCAGGAATCCTCAAGAGAAAAACGTATTTCATGTGTGAGCGTATTTTAAACGCGACATACATGGAGCCTGGTTTCCGATTCATCCATTTCATGCCGCCTTCTTCCGCCGTATCCTGCAGCTGCTGGTGGAAGCTGGGGTTCACATTGACCTGCGAAGAAACATAGCCATGGGTCAAAATCCCGGTTGCCCCCAGTGCACATCCCAATCCCCACTAAAATAGACCAAAATGGGTGGTGCAAAATTGGGATCCCATTGGCTTTGACCCACAGCCACATATCGGCACGGCAGCGGCCACGCTCACGGAAACTCATTGGCCAAGCAAGGCAGGCCCCCCAAATTCCCTTCTGGAAACTGCTCTCAGATCCCCTGCTAAAAGTTTAACTTTTAGTGGGGCAAATGCAAACCCCCACTGAACACTAAAAGTCAAAAAAGCTAAGGGGATGGCTCGGAGCCACCTAGGTAATTTGCTGCAACAAGCCTGCCAACCAGTTTTGGGGGTTTACAGGGGGAGCAACTGCAAATAAACTAAGAGTCACTGACCACTTCGCGATTCCCCCCGGACCATCTGATGCCTCACAATCAAAACATGTTACTTTGATGTTGGTTCATGCTTACCGAACCTTTGTCACGGTGGTGTGGCACCGAGAATGTCTCAACTTGTGCCCCATGCGATATTGTTTTTTTGTTTCTGCTGAATGAGTCCAGAGTTGTCGTGTTGAAAATGGGTTCGTGTCAAATAGGGGGACCCCTATGTTGGGGCGTTTCCTTATGGTTTCATTTAAACCAACCCGAACAAAGGTATGCAAACAAAAAATACACCACCCCAAATGATTCCCTCAGCTTTTGCTTAAGTAGGGATCAGCCGGTTGCGCTTTTTCCAATGGAAGTGCACAATTGGGGCTGTTTGCAGACCATCTTTAAAAGGACCCCGATCGTCCAACTCCATTGTTGCAAAGGGGAGTGATGTGGCTCCTTTTTAGGGATCCTTTCTGAAATGATGGTTTTCCCTTTGGTTTCCCCTTGAAAGAAACCAAACCGGGGCTCCCTCAAAAAACACACGCCCGTATCATACCTCATTGGATTGGTCAATCTACACAGCACTGGCCATGATGCAGCGACAAGCGCGATTTACCTCATGTTACAGGGTCCTAGGACACTGGCATTTAAAAATCTAGACGAAGAAAACAATAAACTTAGGGAATGATGAACCATCCCCTATGGTGTCCTTTAAGGGAACCCCCAGGTTCTCAGATGCCCCGTGGATTTCCATGGGAAAAAAGGATCGGCATCCTTTTTTGGTTGGTGGACATTAAAGGGACACCCTTTCCCAAAAAGGAAAAAAGGGCACCACTGGGCAACTGGGTATCTTCTACCCCCCCCCATAGCCCCCTGGAGAAGAACTATCTGAGGAACTTACAATAACTTGCGATGGGAACTAAGCAGAGCTGTGGTTGAAATCGAATCCCTTCTGTGATGCGACAGAAAGGGCTTCCCAAAGACTAACCCCCCATAAGGGGCAGAACAAAAAAAAAAACGAGTGATCCCACCCTGGAATTCAGGGTTCCCCCGCCCTTTAGAGCCTTCGTGAGCTCGTTTCAATCCCCGATCCGTCAGATCTTTGGGGTGACCCTCAAGAGGTTCCAAGAAACTTGATCCGAAAATGGAAGCTGCACACAGGGCCGCGGGGAATGACCACTGTGATACAACAGAAAGGGTTGGATTCCCTATCACAGAAGTGGTTGGATAAACCCCTTGTGATCTGAAAATCCTGTACATGATTGCGCCATTGCGCGCTGTGGGTCCGACGAGGTTTCGCCCTCTCGCCTTGCTGGAGTTCCTGATCCTGGTGCGCATGGTGCGCTTGGCTTCAAGCCTCTCCTTCACCTGCGAGCTGCGGAACGCCGGCGGGGTTGTTGGTGTCCACGAAACCCATGGTTGTGGCTTTTTTGGTTCTGTTTTGACGAGACACCAAAAAGGAAAACCATCATGTAGTTATTGTTTGGGGGGTCTCCCCAACCGAAGCCGGGAAGGACACCCCGGCATACCATGGGGCTACATGGGCGCGGCTCGTCTTTTGCGAGGCTACCCTTTTTGGGCTGTTTGGAAGAGAAAGCAAACGGAAACCTCATTTATTTGTTTTTGTAGGGGTTTTCTAAACAAAGACAACCGATATATGGTTGCACAGGCCAACCCTGGGAGTGATTTGTGGGTGAGATCCATCTTGACCCGTCAAAATGGGTTTGTGGATGCTACATGACAGTCCTTCCGTGCGAAGGTGGAACCCCTTCGTCAGAACCCGTGGGTCTCCGAATATGGGGGAGTGCCTTCAACATGCAAGGGCCAAAGAAAACATCACGAAACCAACTCTAAGGAACATTCCGTTCGCAAAGAACTCTAAGACAAACTTGTTTTTTGCCACATTGTGCGCGTGTCCATTTCCGTTGCTAAACACAACGCTCTGGCACCCGGTCTTGCACAATCTTGCCCCCATGGCTTCATGAGAATCCATGCCGAGGGCTCCGTCGAAGTATTGGACCAAGATCCAACCACCCCTTGCGGGCAAACACCTCGGTTCAAAGAAACGTGGCATGATCCAAACGAATGCAACTCATGGGTCTTGATCTTCCAGTTGTGCCAGAATCAAGACTCCTATGGGCAATGGTCATGAACTCCTAAGTAGGAAACAGCAAACGTGCTGTCAAAGAAACGAAGCTAAACCAAATAAAAGAGTCTGTTGAACGTGGCACAAGTCTCGGAAAACCATCGTGGAAGCTCCGCTTTGTGTTGAGAACATTGCCCCATGATCCTGCCCTTCCAGCACAAACCGCTGCCCAATGACAACCAACTGCTAGATCAACAGTTCCTGGATCTCCCTCGAATTGGGTATCTGTCGAAACAAGTCAAAACAGGGACTGCAAATTTGGACTCCCCCCAACCCGACCCAGCAAAGGTACCATCGGCAACAACACACGCCGTGTTTACCCTCTCTTTGTCAGAAGGTCGTGCAGCTGGGTGACCGTAGATGGCACAGCTCCCTGAATTTAGCTTCATCATCTCCGCCGGCAAGACAAGTATCTGCATTTTTTACTAGAAATCCAGAAGCTGAGCTAAGGATCCCCAAGCAGAAGTATGCCATTGGCACGGTCACCCTGCAAAACCCGCCGACCCTTTTTCTGAGGGCGGGCGAGCAGGAGCTGCAAAATGAGCAGCCACTGGGTCACCGCTCGGGTTTTTGGGAGTGTTCTTCGGTAGTTCTACTCGTGTTTCGGATTTATGCGATCCAGAAGCAGCCTAGCTTTGATATCAGCAGTGCCAGAGGTTCTGGAAATCTTGCTGCACGCATCTGAGTTTTTTCCCGGTCACCATTTGGCGGCGGTCAGGATTGATTTCGCCCTGGTTCGCCCTGGACTACGCCTTTTCCATGTAATTCTAGCGCATTAGATTCAAACGTGGTGGTAGACCCTTTTCGTTCCTCGCGGGGCGCGTGTTCGTCCTCAAACTTTCCGTTTTGACACTACATAAAGCACAAAATGGGAAATCCTGAGTAAAATGCTGTCAGATTTAATCAATCTTTTCTTTTGCAAAGTTTGGGTTGGGGATGAAACTTGAACATTTCAAATATGTGGAGGGAAGCTCTGCAAACAAGGCAAACTTGAAAAACACACAAATTCGGCCCTAAAACTTTTACAGCCCTCACACAATTACACGCAAAATAGAGCACTGCTGCGAAGCCGCATAACATCATAGGATCAAGCAGGGAGTTCACGCACAAATTGACCATGGAGACTTTGCAGCCCCTCACGCGCTTAAAACAGTATCGCCAAGGGACGTCTAGACACAAACACGCAACCTCAACGAACACTTTGGGGTCGGCGGCACAGGGCGGCCCTTGATTACAAGGAGCAAGCTAATTCCGCCCCCCATATTTAGATGCTGACGCGAAACAGCCGGCCACCGAGCTCCCGGCCCTTCCCTTCATTTCCTTCCCTTTCGTTTTTCCTTTCATTTCTCTTCATATCCCTTCATTTGCATTCCTTTCCTTTAGTTTCCCTTCGTTTCCGTTCCTTTCCCTTCAGTTCCCGTCAGTCCGCTTCATTTCCCTTCATTGGCATTCATTTCATTTCCCTTCATTTCGCTTCATTTCGCTTTCGTTCGCTCGATTTCGATCCCTTTCCGTTCACTTCCCCTCATGCACCATCCTTTCCTTAACCCAGTCATTGAGCATCGCCAGCTTGCCCTGCATTATCTGCATTGCTTGAGATCATGCTCGCACAGCTGGGGATGCTGTCCAAGACCTGGCACCCCCCAAAAATGATTGTTGCTTGGCTCTGCTGGGAGAAACACATCGACAAACATCGCCCAAGCAAATCCGCAAATCCTTCGCGAAAGCAGGGACGGTGCAGCAAAACAAATAAATGTCTGCGCTGATCCGGCGCAGTCGGCGCATGGTCGGCGCATGTTCTGCGGCATGGGCGGACCGCCTTCTACCTGAAGCTGCCTTTCCCGATCTCGGCCCTTCGGCCCTTCGGGGCTCGCCCCTCTGTGGCCGGATTTGGTTCTTACCACAGGATTTGTCAAACCTAGAGGTAAGGCTCCTGAAGGCTTTTCTGTGGCTTGCCAAATATGCTCCGAGTTGGGATACCTTAACCCAAATATGCATTGTTCATGAACTGCAAACCTTGACGGAAGCAACAAATCCCCGTTTTTGTGTCTTGCATTTGCTTGAGCCCCCCGGAAAAAAAAGAAGAAAAAAAAGCATGCTTTCAGTGGTCATAGTTTCCCTTTAAAACCAACAAGGGAGAATAGACCAAGCATTCATTTCAGCAAATGGATGTTGTGGCTTGCCTCAAAGCACTGGCAAGCCAACGTTGCATGACTCGAACCCCCGGGTTTTCTCCGCCCTTACTTCAATTGCACCAAATGGAAGGGACTCTGGCTTTGATTTGGTTAAGACCCCTGGAAAACAAATGTCCAGTGATAGAGTCCCTAGAAAACCAACAGGGTTTTTTTTCCTCGAACCCCCGCCTTCTGCTTGCGGTACTCCTCAAAGGCGAAGGGCTCCAGCGCGGCTTTCAGCTTGGCGTGGAGCCGGCAGTCCTCGCATGGCGCGAAGAGACGAAGGCCAAGCGGACCGCTTGCGATCGGTGCGATAGGTGGGGGATGTGCTAGGGAATGTTCGGTTGGTTTGGATTGGTTTGAATTTGGATTTGAGGATCTGGTTCTCGTAGGCAAATGGGAGGCCTATTTTGGAGTACCTCCAAACCAATTAGAGAGAGATACATCTAGGGGTACCTTTCCCATTCTTTCCAGGGATCCTTCTTGCAAGAAAACCTCAGGAAACCCAGGGAAAACGGATCCGGTTTTTGGAAAGAACGATGGTTGAAAAGAATGGGGAATCAACCCGTAGAAACGTGGGAACGAACCCAGAAGATCCCGAAAGGAAACCGCCAGCAAGGAATGGTTTAAATCGGGGTCACTCCATTTCTCATTCCCTACCCATCGCACCAGCAAGAAAAAGCAGTTCACCATCAGCTTCCCTCTCCAACTCGCAGCTCCGGTTGCAAAATTCAAAACAAGCAGCGTGTTTGTTCGGTCCACTTCAAAGGGGCTTTGCCCCGTCCAAAAAAAAGCACAACAGGCGTTGGATTCTACCCTAGAAAAGGGTGGTTTGGACGGTTTCCCCATTTACCTTCTACAACCAGGGGTTCGAATCCAAATCCAAACCACCAATCCAAAGCACCAATTCGGGGTTGCCTGAAAGCCGACCGAAACCCAGGTTTCTTGCGGAAACAGCTACTCAACTGGTCCCTAAACTGCTGAACAGCAAGATAGCAACGTGCCTGATTAGACAGCAAGCAGACGGTAACTCAAATTGAAAGGTTTCTAAAAAAAATAAAAATAAAAATAAAAAATCCGGGTTGAGAAAAGGATGCGGAAAAGCAACAGAGATTTTGAAAGGGAAGAAAAACGAGCGATCAAAAGCAGACACGTACAAGCATTCGCACTTGTTCCAAGAGAAGCTTGGTATTTTGCAGCCTCCCAGTGAACTGGACAAGTCACCAAAAGAACACCTGAACAGTCCAGAACAGTTTAAGAAGCCCGTGTTTCGTTGACCAAGATGTCTTTTCTACCATACGACAGGCTACACGGAGGCCAAGACAAACAGGTTGGGGGGTGGCACAAAGAGAGCCAACAAATGCACCTTGGACAACAGAGCGTGGGTGTTCCATCCCACTATGCCACGTTGTGTCAGTCCTCCAAGCTCAACCAAATTCTTTTTGTTGAGACATGGGGGTCTCAAAACAAGGTGACCCTCAAAATGAGTGGCTCTCACTGTGCTTTTCCCTTCCGCCAAACCAATTTACCGCTTGTACGGTGAAGTTTCTTGTCTGAAAAGAAAGGAATACTTTCTCACGAGGGATTTGTTGTGTTTGACAGGTAGGGATCAATCTTCCTTAGTGGGGATCAATCTTCCTCAGTGGGTGGTTGCACCAAACAAGGAACTCTGATCAAGAGATTCCTTAGAATCATGCGAGCCCCCAATGAGGTCTGTCAAGCCCCCAAGCATGGAATGCACGCCCTCAACAACAAAGCAACATGGGTTTGTACAAGCTGCCAAACATGCTCCAATCAACCTTTGGCCTCCCCCTCCGACTGCTTTTACCAACTTTGAATGTGACAGCAAGTTCCGAACAACTCCCGGGTGCCACCTTCTAATATGGTAGAGTGAATTGTTTTACCTGGGATTCACAAAGGATCTCGGAGGACATGTCCCTCCCTCGGTGCTAATTAGGCTCCCAAAAATGACCTTGTGTGTTTGGTTGCCTGCAAGAGAACCAACAAACACTTAGTTCTTCGTCAACTTCCAAGCAAGCCGCCTCATGCTGAAAGCACATCTGGCGTAAAGAAAACACATGTCAAAGCCAACATGATTCTCACTAGCGCGCCCACACCCGCACACATGAGCCGCAAGTTCGTCTGTGCTCACTACCAGGTTGAGACCTGAGTCAGAAAAGCGCAAGGGGTCACCGGGCCTGTTCCGGTCGAACTACTTGATAGAGCGCCGTCGCCAAAATGAGCCAGAACACAAAAACTCGACAATTCCCAGTGAAAGCCCACGGGACACATTGAATATTCAGCCGCTCGATCCCCCAATGCAGGATGAAAACCAGCTGCGCGCAACTGCAGCAGTTCACAAGCAAACACCATGGCAGCGCCCGGCTAGCGCATGGCTAGTTGTTTTATGGTGATTCCCTCAATTTCCCAGCATACCGCAACATACACAAAAGATGTTTAAAGAGGGTAAGCATCATACCTGACAGAACAATGGTGCATCTCCTTTTGGGTGACCCCCTACTCGCAGTTGGGATCCATGTCGTTGAGGTTTCCACGGGATATCACACCTACTGGGACCAAATCAGGTCGCTTCCGGAAACAAAATATGGCTCTGTCATGGTCGGTCCATAAAGTAGCCGTGCATGTAGGGCTGCAGGTACTTGGTGCCCACCAACCTGAGCCAGGCACGAAACGCCTTGGTCCAAATTACGCAAATCTAAAAACCCCGTGACAAGCAGTTTAGGGTGCAAAATCGGGAATCAAATCAGCCAGCCTGGCAACCAAACAGTCAACCAAAGTCAAATTCTACAGGCCATCAGACGTGATCAAATCAAGCAAGAAAGGTGTGGTAACAGCTGGTTGCTGCGTACCAAGGGAGAATGGAGGAACAGAAAAAGGGCATAAAAGGTCCAAACAGTTCAACACTCTAGAACCAAAACATTGGCCAGGCTAACGACAGCTTGCCTCACTCCCTTGCACATAATACGTGAGATGGAATGATGGAATGCCACGAAAAGAGCTGCCTCAACCAAAACCATTTTTCCATGTCTGTCAAATGGCACCAACATAACCCCGAGCGGAGGTCACTTAACACACCGGCTTTGGGGCGTTGGTCCTGCCACAGGGTCCCCTTGTTTTCAGCTGGGAAGGGAGTCAAAAGCCGAACAACACCCCCCCCAAGAAATGGTGCTTGCGGATTCCACGCTGATCCCAAACCGCTCGCCACGAAACTTCCAGTGACGTAACCTCTGGACAACTCGGGAGGCGCAGCTTACCTGGAATTTCCACTTGCCAAGGGTTCACTCCCTCGCTCGGAACGGCCGGAAGCTCCCGGAAGGCCTCAAATGGAATCAGGTCCGCCAAAGGGGTGGGAGCTTTCATGGAATCGCCTGGGGGAGTCTTTCCCTTCAAAAGCCCAAACGTCTTCAACCAATGGATCTCCTTGGTAGAACCTTGAAAGCCTCCCCCTCTCCACAACCCCCAGGTGGCGATCAAATGGTTCTGGACCTCCTTGAGGCCACGCAAGGGCCATTTGACAGCCAGGGCCTTGGAAAAAATGTGTCGTTCAGTTTTATTTTCAACAGAACTTCTCACGAAGAGTATCTTCCAGACAACGGATTGTCTCTAAATTGCCTCCAGTCATGATACATGTCCAAGCAACCGAAAGATTAGGGACCCCCCCAAACGGTTCCCCTTGGTTTCCCTTGACCAAAAGACACACCCCAGCTACACCTTTCGGGGAAAATTCTCCGTGGCCGTGACCTCGGATTGAGCTTCCGCGCTCACCGGCGCCCAGTTGCTCCAACTGGTCCTTCGTCACAAACTGGAAGTCCTCCGAATCTCAGCTGCCCCACAGATCATGGACCTGTAAGGGTGGCCGTAAACAGGCCTGGGCTTCTCCTTGGCTCCTTTTAGCGCATCCCCATTGCCCTAAAAAGGGGTCCATGAGATTGCCCGGCCCCCTAGTCATGGGGAAAAAAAACAAGAAACACAGGGTGTGTTTCCTGCCGCTCCAAGGGGATCTGATCCAAGGGTTCTTGGAACCTTTCTGGAAACCTTTCCGCGGAAAGAAGAGTCTTCATGCTCCTGCCTTTCACTCCGGTTTGTTGTGAGGCTATGTAGTTGGATACTGGGTTGTTTGCTTGCATAGAAATAATGTGACATGGCTTTCCATCCAACGCAGTCCAAGGGAAACATGAATCACTAAAAAAAAAAAAAAACACGCAACCAGCAGCGCTACAAGACGCGCCACCATGCAAGACAACCCACAAGAAATATAATATAACATATCACACTACTCGAGAACGGAACAATCAATGAATCAAACGAGCAAACAAACAAACAACACAAAATATAGCGAGCGAGTAAGCAAGCAGAACAAGCGAGCAAGCAAGAGAGCAAAGCACAGCAAGCAAGCACTCAATAAGAGACATACAATACGAATCAAAACGATATTGAGCAAGCAAGCAAGAAACCAAGCATGCAAGCTACCAAGAAAGCAACCAACCAAGCAACCAAGCAACCAAGTATGCAAGATACCAAGCAAGTAACCAACCAAGCAACCAAGCAACCAAGTATGCAAGATACCAAGCAAGCCAGCAACCCAGCTACCCAGCAACCAAGCAACCAAGCAACCAAGCAAGCAAGCAAGCAATCATACACGCGCACGCGGTGTGCGCGCACGCACGCAAGCGAGCAAGCAAGAAAGCCAGCCAACAAGCAAACAAACAAGCAAAGCAAAGAAGAGCAAAGAAGGAAGCAAAACAAGTTAACTAACCAACTAACAATCAAGGAAGCAAGCAAGGCAAGCAAGCAAGCAAGCAAGCAAAGCAAAGCAAAGCAAGCAAAGCAAGCGAGCAAGCAAGCAAGCCTGCAAGCAAGCAAGAAAGCAAGCAAGCAAGCAAGCAAGCAAGCATAACAAGCAAAATAAGCAAAATAAGCAAAACAAGCAAAGCAAGCAAGCATGCAGGCAGACTGGCAAGCAAGCGCGCAAGCACGCACACAGCAAAGCAAGCAAGCAAGACAGTCGAGTAATCAAGCAAGCAAGCAAGCTGGCTGGCGGGCAAGCAGGCAAGCAGGCAAGCAGACAAGCAGGCAAGCAAACAAGCAGGCAAGCAGACAAGCAGGCAAGCAGACAAGCAAGCAAGCAGACAAGCAGGCAAACAAGGAAGCACGCAAACAACGCATGCAAAACACGGCACCACACTCACACATGCGATAGCTGCTTGCAGGCCCACATTGTGACTCTGCCATTCGCCATACTTGGACCAAACTGGATTGCCAGAAGTATTGACTAATTAGCCAACTGGGATCAAGCGAGTTTTCAGGTATCCAGCTGCGTTCTGACTATATATACAGACATCAGTCATAACTTGGCCAAGCCGAGTTGTATGATTCTAGAAGGAACCAAGATGAATGATCACCAGACCTTAGCCACTGTTCCACTCCAAACAAGGGACAGAAAGTGTCTGCCACGACGCCTAAACCGTCTTGAACTCCCATTTTGGCTCTGGTCACCAGGAAACGAACAACAACAGCTTGAAATATTTGCTTGGTATCCCAAAGGATCGAAGTACTGTACCTTCTAAAGAGGTGCGTTAACTCCTTTTTAAACCCCCAAGAAGCATCCTAACTGAGTCATAATCAAAACCCGGTATTGAAATGGTCTACCCAGAACCATGTACAGAATTGCGAAGGCGGCCACAGCTATTTATGGCTGGGATCGTCCCTTACTAACCTTCACTTACCCGGGTTTTGATTGTGGCGCAAATGAGTAGTTGTACGTACTGTACCCATTGAACACGTCAAACAAAGGCACCAGCTCAAAAGTTGATTCGCTTCTCCTCGAAGACAGTCTTCTGTCTGCTTTCCTCCAGCTCCTGTCAGAGACAAGCTGCACATGCTTGTTGAACACAACCCTTTTCGCGTTGATTCACATGACTCTCTTATCACTTTAAAGGGGATTCCCATGACTGTAACTCCTTTTAGAGGGGATTCCCTGGGTATCACAAACATGGTCTCCAAAATCCGATTTGCCACCATGAAGCTAAGCTTCCCTTTTTCCGCCGAGATGGACCGAATGGCCCTAGGGCATTGAATCTGGGCCAGCTACCTGCGAAGCGTGCAGCTACCAGCCGAACTTCTAGCACTTCTGCTTGGGATCAAGAACCCCTACTGTGGATGGACGAAATCCTGATCCACTTTGAAACCATGGGACGCCATTGTTGGTAGGGTTTCTTAGGTGGTGCAGAATTTTGTCCATCCGCAGTAGGAACGGTTCCTTTGCAACAATATGCCGTGGTACGTCGTGGCATTAATTCCTCCTTTTCGGGGCCATGACAAAAAAAAAAAAAAAACAATACAAACCAGGAACAACCAACAAGTCCAATTGGCAGCTTTAGGAAGCGATCGAACTCGACAAGAGTGACCACGCATCGGAGCAAACTAATTATGCAATGTTCTTTGGGGAGTTGGTCAGGGTTCACTGGATTTGCCCTTTACAAGTTGATCAATTGACTGGTGGTTTCCACTAAAACTGCCACTTTGGGAGGCTCGGAAACCCTGTTGGTGGACATCATAACATGGATCCGATGTCAGCAAAGCGCCTCAGTGATATTGTCCAAGAAGGAGCACCACCTGTCAGCACATGACAAAGCCTTACCTCACTTGAGGATAAATTAGCCCACCCGTCAGCACATTTTGCACATGACACATTGTTACCTCACTTGAGTGGAGCCAGGAAAAGTGGATATCTTGTTTCGCCGCAAAACAATGACGTTTATCTTTACCGAGTCGACTAAAGCTGAGGGGTGCTTGATTTCGCAGAGAGATACCTTGCAGGAGGGTCCTCGGGGCAGTCAACAGATGGAACCCTGGAAGGGGTTCCATACCGTCTCGCTATTGGTGAGTTGGTTGTCATTGCAACACCTGAAAGCAACGCGCACACACACACACACACAGCTCGACATAGACAAACACGTTTCACCGCAAAGCAAGCATGACGTTGGCTCAAATTCAGGGAGACACGGGCCATTGTGCACATCTGTCGGCACCGCCTTGGATGGTGTCGTACAATATCTTAAGCCATGGTTGAGAAAATCAACCTGGAACCTTCCATGACTTATGTGGGGACTCATGTCCACCAACAACTTTGGAGGGTGTTCTTCGTTTAACAACACTGCACATTTCAGTAACAATCAAAACTTGGTCTCGGTTGCTTTCTGCCCACCTCCTAAAAGTTGAGAACTTTTAGTGGCTTAATGGAAAACCCATTGGACCCATTAGTTGGCAACAAGTTAAAGTCCTAACATCCAAGCAACATGCACCAAAGTGGTATTAGATGTCTGCCCAAATCCATGTAAAACATAGAATGGCAGCACCCGATTATTTGGGCTGAACAAATGGAAAATTGGCCAATCTGATTTTCCAGAATCCTTATGGGGAAGCCACTGCAAAGGGGACCGGTTCCTTGCGTAACCCAAGGTAAGGATTAAGGATTACGATTCCTGGGTTGCGATTCTGCAAGGGGTACCCTACAACGGAACTGAACAAAAACAATAAAAACAAAAGTAGACAAACAACCTGCAAGTGAGAGATCCCCAAAAATATGTGGTTTCCCTGTGGTTCCTTTAAAACCATCCGGAAAAAAACATGGTACCCTCAAAAAGTCGCACACACCCAAATGGTCATCTGCCCGCTGTTCACGCGATGCGTCCCTTCAACCCGGCCAGCTAGGTGGCAGCCAGCGACCCCCCTTCCCGGCTGCCCGATTCCCCGTGCAGCTGTGGTGCGGCGGCGCAAGGCCGATGCTGGGCACGAAGTAGACCCTGAGAGAGCTGCGATTTCCATATTTGGCCATGGGTCAAAACCCCGATTAGCCCCCGTGCACATCCCAATCCCCACTAAAATACACTAAAATGGGTGGTGCACCTACCCCAAAATGGTACCATGGTCCAAGAAGGAGCACCACCTGTCCAAGAAGCTGCGATTTCCAGCGGTTCAATCCTTTTCCAGGGGTATCGTTTTTTTGAGAGCCCCCTATCGTTTGCCATGGTTGTGTGCATTATCACAATATGAATGAATGGGATAGGTAGGGGTAAACATATGCCAACATCAATGTTTTGGGTCAAAACCGTTTTGGGATCCCATTTTCGGGTAGGTGAATTCACCACCCATTTTTAAACCTATTTTAGCGCTTGGATTGGGGTGTTCACTGGGGGTACGATTTGGATTTTGACCCATGGCCATATTTTGGGCTACTCCAAGGTAGAATTCGAGAATTCGGGGGTTGCCCTTTTTGTGGACATCCGGGTGTGTTTTTTTTTGAGCAGAACCCCCAACATGGTGATGTTCCTTGTTTCCTCTAAAACCAACACAAAGGGGGTATCATCACAAAAAATGGAACCACGCAAACCAACCACCCCTGGGTTTCACACGGGTCCAGGTGTCTGGAGGGAATCGGGGTTCAGGGATTGATGCATCTGGCGACCTCTTTGAAGCTCGGGTGAAACGGGCGACAGGAAGAACCAAGGGACACCACGGGGAAAGGCACTTTCTCTGGGGCTTCTCACAAGATCTGAAAAAGATCACCTTCTCAAAAGTCCGAGGAGGACTGGCCACATCAAGTCTAAACTTGCTAAACTTGCTAAGCTAAATTGGTCTTTTCAACACCCTCGAAGTGAGCAGCCACTTCAGGAGGGTTCTTCAAAAACTCACCTCATTTTTCGCTGGGTGAAGTGCATAGGAGGACTGTGGAAGACTAGCATCCTCTACAGCCCCTTGTCCGCTTCCACGATTGGACTTGTCCGCTTCCAGGATTGGAAAAAGGGGCGCGCTTCCTCCCGCAAACATAGCACCTGTGGGAGGATACCTGGACGATCAGCTTCCTCTTACAGCCCCCTCTGTGAAAAGCCCTAAACCAACCCTAAACCAACTCAAAGCTAGCCTCCCCGAAGCACTATCACCCTAAACCTAAAGCATCCTAAACCAACCCCAAACCAGCCCGTACCATGTTAGTGGGAGGGAGGCTACCCTGCCATCCACATGGAGACTGAAGTTCTGAAGGTCCTCGAGGAAAAATGGTTCATTCACGCATCTTCAAGCAGCTTCCACACTAGCAGGTGGCAGGGCACCGAAAGAACTATCCAAGCCACATCTGGAGCAACTTTCACGAATGCAAAAACTGCAAGATGAAGCCAAAAGCCCATGATGCACTTCCAACACAGCAATGTCTTCTCGAGGGCGGCAGATCAGTCGGCAAACGACACCTTCGACAGTCAAGCGCTCAATGCGAGCAAGGCACCCAATTCGCCTCAAGAATCGAATGCACGGCATTGGGCCAACTCCCGGTATTATGTTCTCAGTTGTTCAGTGACCCTGGAAAAAAAGGAACCCTTTTTGGGGAAGACCATTTTTAGTGGGGCAGCCACCAAAAAAAGGGGGGACAAAGGGTGTCACTGAACAACTGATTGTTAGCTCCAGATGAATCTCAGGGACTGGTCACGGGTTCCTCTTTCAGTGAGGAAGTGATCTATGTGTCGGGTTCTTCTGACAAATAGGGTCAGAATAAGGGTACCTGTTTTTTTTTCTGTAGTCTATTTTAGTATCTATATATTTACCGATATGTGAATGTTTGTTCTTCTGCCTTGTGTCTATCTATCTGGCAGTCCATCAATCTACCCATGTGCCTGTCTGTCTGTCTGTCTGCCTGCCTGCCTGCCTGTCTGTCTGTTTGTCTGTCTGTCTGTCTGTCTGTCTGCCTACCTAGTCAACGCTTGCTATCTTTGTCTCAACCTTTTCAATTCAAGTAGCCCTGGCTTGACCAACATAGTTTTCTATCGGTACTGTAGATCGGTCTGGGTCTATCTATGCTAGGTCCTCCAGTAGAGAGGTTAGAATAAGGGTACCCCTTTTTTCTGTAGTCGATTTTAGTACGGGAACCCTCCCAACCAAAAGGGGGAGAACTGAGACTACTGGGGGACCTAGTCAATGTTTCGTGCCCAAGCTAAAGAAACAGTACTCGGCTTTCTTTCGTTCCGAAAGGCTGCGATTTCGGAGATGAAGCTGTAAAAGTACACATTGCTACGACTTTCGAGCTGAAAGCTGTAACTTTGTCCTACAACTGGGAAAGCGCATGGCGTTAGTTAGTTATAAGTCTGTTTGGTTCATTCAATAGTTCAAGTAACATAATTCATTTCACGAACTCATGCATTCATTCATGATTTCATTCATTCATTCCTTCCTTCCTTCATTCATTCATTAATTCATTCATTGATTCATTCATGCATTGATTCATTGATTCACTGATACATTCATCCATACATCCATCCATCCATTCATACATTCATTCATTCATTCATTCTTTCATTCCTTTCCATTCCATTCCATTCCATGTTATGTCATGTCATGTCATGTCATGTCATGTCATGTCCATTCCATTCCATTCCATTCCATTCCATTCCATTGCATTCATTCATAAATCAGCCAACCTGGCCACGAAGACAGTGCTTTCGCAAAGTCGCTGCGTGTCATTGGCTGCGAAGAGCATCCCAGAGTTGGGGTAGAAGGCGATCTGATTGACGACCTCCGCTGTTGAGCGGCACATTGGACATGAGTGGCTCGTCATTCTTTGGGTGGTGCAATTTGTGGGTTGTTTTGAAGGGAAACCAAAAAACCAAAACACCAAACCCAAGCACTTTTGGGGAGCCCCGTGTTTCGAGACACACGCACACAAGGAATCCTCAAATCAGGTGCCCTCATCCGCGGCAAGCTCCCGGATTTCCAGAGGCTGGATAAGCGACCCATCAGGGGCTTCCGCTCCAAACAAAAAGGAGAAGAAAGCAACGGGATCTACGGACTACACAAGCCAGCAGTTCAGTGCAGCTGAGCCTGCACCCCACCGGATGCCTCGTGCTGATAGAAAATAAACAACCTTCTTTGGGATGATGTTTTGAGGGGCCCAGCAAACACACCTCGCGGGGTGCCACTGAGCGACTGGACAGAGCTTACTCGGTTCGATGGGATCATTATGGGGGCTGGGGGGGAGGGGAGCCCAAAAAAAAACCTTACTAATATGGCCTTATTTGGGCTCCCCCTCCCCTCCCTCCCCCCCAGCCCCCCGAATATCATCCCCGCAGGTGCAACTGGGGAGGATCGCGTCATTGTCCCCTTCCAGCCAAGAAGCGGCGGGCGACTCCATGGATGCTGCGATGCGGCCGTTGGTCGCCCCCCAAATCTGGCGACGCGTCTTCCAACATTTGGCTTCGACTACCCATAGCGCAGGGGTTCAATGCGACCTACGAGCACCACATGGCCACTAATTATATGAGTGCATGCTCTTTTTGCTCGGGAGGGCAGTGGTTTGGTAGTGAAAACCATCTTAGAGATATTACATCCCACATGTTCGCATCATAATTGCAACAGTGATCAGTGGGAAATAAGTCACCACCCCCCAACAGCTCGGACAGCTGTGAAATGGCCCACAACATTAGCACAAAAGAGGTCGCTCAAAAAAAAGATAGCCATCCGGCGGTCATGCAAAACAATGTCTACTTTCACCCGAATTGTTCAACGTCATTTCGGTGATTTGGCGGGTTGAAATCACATATGGATGAACATGAAAGCGTAGTGTGCGCACTTAAAATGTATCATTCCCTTACTCATGTTAACATGGAAGTGTATACCCTTATTTGTTGTACGGAATTGCACCAGCTTCCGTTCACCCAGCTGTACCGGGGCATCTATAAACGGATTTCACTTCTGGACAATTTCAGGCCCATAGTCGTAGCAGATTCCATTTTTTGGCGACCCCACCCAGGGGTGATTTCCCCAAGTAAATCCAGGGTTTTTCTGTCCACTGGGTAGTCTCCCCGTATCTCCTTTTTTGGGGTTCCTTTTATTGGTGGTTTCCAACCAAAAACACGCGCACACACACACACACACACCCCACTTGGCTAGTAACAGTACCAAACAAGTTGCAGAAAAAGCGAACCGGGTGAGCTGAAGCTTATTGAAGATTGCTAAGCACTACTCCCGGACCATCTACATGCCCTCCCTCCCTGATTTCAGCCTTGATGGACTTCTTGTCCGCTGAGGCAACCAGCAAGTCCGAAGATTCGGGACCCCGGCTATGAAAGCACAGAGAGGAGATGGCATAGTCGTTCCTCAGTTCTGTTGACAGGCTCTACGCGTGTCTTTGAAATGCCAATCATGCCGCATGCCCAGTTTGCAATAAACAAACGTCATGCGCCTGGCCTTTGTTGAAACGTGGGTCTTACTTCTGGGCAAGGCAGAGATGTAATTGGATATGTGCTAGATGTGTGTCCGCCGCGGCTCCAGTTGCCGCCCATCAAAAACATAGCGCCTCATGCCCACATCGGTATGAATGTGTCAAAATGAGGTCCCAACAAATAGTCGAATCCTTGTGGTTTCCCTCGCAAACTACGGTGAAGCCGGCACTTCTACCTTCAGCCGAAACACACGCGCACACACGCACACACACACACACACACACACACCCTCTCATGGCACGGCACGGCGCGGCACGGCACGGCACCAGACTGATCGGAGCCACAAAAAATCAACTTCTTAGCCAAAGTTAACCCACCTGAAGTTAACTTGTTGAGCTTGAGTGGCCCAATCAAGTCTAGAAGCCGTATGAGCGCCTGTTGGGCCAGAGGGGGCCTAGAAAAGGGCAACGGGAAAATAAAACAGACCCTCAAACAAGATGTTTCATGCTTGAAAGGGAACATCTTACACCAAACGTACAACAAAACGAAAGACAACACGTTGTGTTGCTCCGCAAATTGACAGGGACCCCAACACCGTTGGAAGTCCCCATGTCAGTTCGCAGCAAGTCTGGCAATGTCAACAGTGTCATGGACAAATAAATATATATATATATATATGTATTTATGTGCGTATCCATCCATCCATCCATCCATCCATCCATCCATCCATCCATCCATCCATCCATCCATCCATCCACCGACCCACCGACCCACCGACCCACCGACCCACCGACCCACCGACCCACCGACCCACCGACCCACCGACCCACCGACCCACCGACCCACCGACCCACCGACCCACCGACCCACCCACCCACCCACCCACCCACCCACCCACCCACCCACCCACCCACCCACCCACCCACCCACCCACCCACCACCCACCCACCCACCCACCCACCCACCCACCCACCCACCCACCCACCCACCCACCCACCCACCCACCCACCCACCCACCCACCCACCCACCAATCATCTATCTAACTTGCGGAGAAGCATCATATGATCTCGCTCCGCTATTGGACGACTGCTTCTGAGGTCGTATACGCGCACGAGGCCCTGAGCACATCAGAGCGGAGCACAAGTCAGAAAGCCCCCTCGCTTCAATGCACATTGGCAAAGATCGGCAATTTTGCCAATAAATGGGATATCAGAATTGGACATAAGATGTTTTTCCCATAAAACCATCGAATCTTTCAAAATCTTCTAGAGGTAACTTCCGCATTCTTTCCAGGGATCCTTCTTTCTAGAAGACCACCAAAGACCCGGGGTTTGAAAAGAACGATGGCTAGAAATCTGGAATAAGAATTCGACCCCGAGAGGGCCTTCATCTTCTTCCTCAATGCCCGGCGTCTTGTGAGACATGATGGGCAGCCACCACGGCACTCCGGCACATGGGGGGCAGACACAGCGGCGATTTATAGAGCTGCAGACATACATATACAGGGGAAGAATCCCCAGTGGGCAGCACAGTTGGCCGCCCACATCCCAACAACCTCCTCAGGGAGGAGGCAACCAAAACTATTCAAAAGGATGAAAGCACTGACTATACAAGGCAGCAAACTGCGCAAAACAGTTGAAAAACAGAGAAAGTAGTCCATCCTGTACTGCCAGCAGCCGACCACAGCATGCAAGGGAATCAGCAGGGACAGCTGACGCCTTGCGAGGCTCAAGGTGACCCGCGCCACAACACTCCCAAGACGACCCACCAAGAGAGCAGACAGCAAGCCCAATACCTTCAGGAAGGAGATCTCCCCCGCAACCCCGGCAACGAAAAACTCGGCCCTCTGCAGTAAGCAGAATGTGACGCGCAACTTCCGAAGAAAGACCTCGCCTGTACGCAGGAATAACGCAAGAAAAGAGCACCACACACAAAAGGAAAAGGAGCTGCCACTGCCACCAGGTAGGTAGACAGGAAGCCCAGGCCGAAACCAATGCACACTGAAGCATAAAGCTGAGAGACACGCAGAAGGAAGAGTGGCACACACGATCCATTCAAGGTGTCCTTGGCAGGTGGGCTCGTAGTCACCGCAAAGGAGGTCACGAAGCAGCAAAAGCATCCACCAGTTGACAGACACCCAGGAAAAGGCCACAATCCACAAATGGCAAGCCTCCCAACTCGAAGCGCGAGCAATAATACACACCATGGCTGCAGAATAAGCTGGCCCGGCTGAAATGCTGCTGTGTGTTGGCCTCCAGGGTCAGAAAGCTGCACAAATAACGCGCCAAAACTTGCTCCAGGCGAAAGCAGAAGCGTCACGGAACCCAGCGCGAAGTGCACAGTGAAGACGCCAACCAGGCCAACACGATGCTGTTCCCCAAAAAGCAGAGGCATACCCGGACTGATCGAAGAAGAGGTGCGCCCCACACCAAGTCCAGTTTGGAGCGTGGATGAAGGGCAAAGCCTCCAAACACGCACAGCGGAAGGATTCCTTGGCCTCGTCCATGAGCACAGAGAGCACCACGCTTGCCATGGCGATGCAATGATGCACTCCGGGGGTAGCGAGAAAAGCCAAACCGAACACGCCGCCCCACAGAGCCACCACCGCTTGGTAGACGCCAGACGCCTCTTGCGGAGAGGTCGCCTGGCCCCAGCTGGGCAAGCCTGAGGTGAGTCGCTGTAAGCTGAACACCTTGAGAGGACCTTCATCATGGCAGCCTCGTTTGGCCTCCGAATCGGTAAGCTCGCCTTAAAATTGGCAGATAGATTCTCCAAAGCTGACATTTGCACATACCTGTGGCCATTTCTCGGAAATAAATCGATGAGTTTCTTAGTTCATGTGAGATGACTGCTTGCGCGGCGTGTCTGCATCTGCAAAGAACCAAGAGTTGGTGTTCGGCGCCCACAATGCAAGCACTGAAAGACAGTTTTTGTGGTTGCCGCCACTCTTAGTGAGCGGGATCAGACTTCAAGCTTGCCAACACTATGCGGTCGGAAGCAGAATCCCACGAAAGCAACACGATCAAACGCAGGCATAAACATGTTTTGAAGCAAACCTTGCTCCAAAGCAAGTTTTCTTGGGCGCCAGCATGCTATCGCTGTCATGCAACAACTTTAGGAGATCTGAGCATTGAACAGGTCCAAAGTTGAAAAGCAATCCATCCCCTAAATTGTGTCCTTTGAAAGATGTAGCCCAACCCAGTAATTATTAGGCAACCAGGGGTTCCCCATCACGTAACACCTATAGGTAACAATATTTTCCCGGCCCGGCACCCCAGCAAATGTGTTCTAGGGAATTTTCAGGAGGTCGCATGTGATCGCCGTTAGGTGGTTTGTATATTGAAGAGAGATATCGTTGGATGGCTTGTTTAACTAGGTCCTCCAGTAGAGAGGTTAGAATAAGGGTACCAACTTTCTTCGGTAGTCTATTTTATTAGGGGAACCCTCCCAACCAAAAAAGGGGGAGAAAGGGCACCTAGCCGGGGGACCAAAAGAACCACCCACATTTTGAAAGTCCAAGTCCTCTGTTGGCACATCGTATCGGCGCATCGATTCGCATCGCGCCTCTGACGTGCCCGCGGCGAAGAACATGCCGTTCCCGGAGTAGGCGCACTTGGTGACCTGACGAAAAAGCCAAATGCGAGGTGCTGCTTGTTTGGACAGTCGCGCTGTATAGACTTGCCCCTGCCTGGTACATGCCCAGCGAAAGGTCTCTCTTTTGGTGTCTCTTTTGGGCCCCCAGTCCCAGGAGCCCAGAGAAAGATGGGGGTATGAACCCTCATATCAAGGTCAATGGTTGCTTACCCAATTGTCCCTATAGCCTGCATAATTTACCCCATGTTCCCCTGCCCGGGAAAATGGGAAAGCGTTGTATAACCGACTACGCCCACAAACAAATAGGGTAGATAACCTTGATATAACCTTGATACTATCAGGAATTTATAGCCCGTTCTCACCCAGGCGGCAGTGGTTTCTGTGTAGTGGACACCATCTTAGATTCTTCTGTCGCCAAGCTAGGAACGCAAGGCACACAAGTCGCGTGAAAGGATAGCGGGACACACCATAGGAACGACTTGACGATCAACTGCTGTGCAAAGATGTGTGATGAACACAACCACATGGCGTTTTGAGTAGATTCAAGCAGGCAGCCCATATTCCGGCAACCATGTAATTCAAAGACGAAAACTCTTGCCCAATCCCATTGCTCTGAAATGATTTAGACGGCGTTGTTGTGTTGGAAGGCAACATACTTTGATTCATGGGGTAAGGAGTGCACTTCAACTGAGTTCTGGCAATAGCAACTTGGCTTCGCCTTCGGCAGAGTGCATGAATGCTCCATAGAATCCGCCCACCCTGAACAACACATGTGTGAACCTCCCAAAAAGCGCACACCCCATGCATGATTCAATATTACCTTAGGCGATGCAAGTACGTGCCAATCACGTGGAGTCTTCTGCATTCGCATACCAAGTCAATCTGCGTCAACAATTGATAGCACAAGATCCACGCCAAAGACATAACGAGGCAAATGGGAAAACTATTGGGCGTTTGCATGAATGCCCTTCGTTGCGACTTGCGGTGTGTGTGTGTGTGTGTGCATATTTTGCAAGATGGGCACGTGCTCGACTAGCGTTTGGCTTGACTGGAGCGAAATGAAGTTGTAGGGGGTTTGAGAGTAAACTGAGTTTTCATCATGGGGAGTATGTAAACCACTGAGAAACCAAGCTGGCTACAGAACATTTGCTTGTGTGTGTAAGCCTTCACGCACCCGAGTATCGTTGCCCACTCGGGCAGGGTGGCAGCAACCATGTCATCCATGGTCAGTATTTATCCAAGCGATGTTGGAATTTGGTGATTGAACCCAATTTGCTAATTGTGACTTGGCGAGTGTACTCAATTTCATCCCCGTTTGTGCTATAGATGGCGGTGAATGCACGCCGTTGCTCATGTACTAGAACGGCCGACTCAAGCGTTTGGCGACATCAGAACAAGTCAGCGCAAACCAAAAGCGAACCACGTCGCCATTTCAGAACCCCATGACGAGCAAGTCCCTGTTGGTCAAGTGGTCGATCAAAATGGTTGGCGGGGCGCCTCGAAACTGCTGCCGCGATTACTCGTGCTTCTTGCGACTAGGGCCTTGCGCCTTTAGGATATTTTGAGATGTCCATAATTGAACCCTCCAATGACCGTTGAATTCAATCAAGATCCCGGTTAGGCCAAAAGTTGATACATGCACTAGTCTCTCAGTGCAGATCAGGTCCTGTCTTCGGACAACGCCCGGCGCGGAGACAGACCAACGCCCGGCCTGCACCGAAGAATCGCTGTCCACCTCAGGGGCAGGGAAAAACGTGGGGGTCTTTGGGGGTGGTTGTCTGTCGGTCTGTGGGATCCCTGCAGCAACACGCCCAAAAAGCAAAGAGATCAACGCCTCACCTCACTTTCTGAGTGGATTGGCCCAAGAAGAAGGTAACCACACTTTTCTTTTACCGCTAACATGCTCCAGACCATTTTTAGATTACAGGAACTCAGGAAGTGAGTCACTTGCCTGAGGAGAGGCCCAAGAAGTCCCAGCTCATCCCAGCTTCGCCACTAAACCTCCGGTTCTTCACCACCTACCATGCCTCACGCCTCACCTAAAACAGCTCAAGTCCAGTCGCCCGGGGAGTGAGAAATGAGCAAGCTTTGACATGCTGCGAAGTCCGCGTCATCCCTTAGCACACATAAACGCCATCAAATTGTCGCCTACCATTCTTGAGGGGGCCGCTGGGAGGACTGTATCTCTCTGTAATTACCCTTCCGTAGAGCAACAGGGACTATGTAATATGTGTTTACGTCTTTGGTGGAGCAATCTCCCTTTGTGCTACCCCATTGTTGGGTTGCAACTTAACTAACTTGCCGAGTAGATTGGTAAAACAAACACAATATATTATGTTGCTATGAGCTAAAATGACATGTCTGGGGTGTGTTGCTATGTTAGGGTGTCCCGTTGTTTTGGATACCTTTCTCAGGTTTTTACAACATAAAAACAGGTGCATGAAACACTCCTACAGAAAGTAGAATGACGGTACTGATTGAAGCTAACTTACATCAGTAATATCATCTTCCCAAACAATTTCAAGCCGAAACTCCTCTTGACTAGATTTCGGTGCCCCCCTCCCACCCAGAGCAAAAACAAAAGAGGAGAGTGTTGCCAACCAGAGGCGCATTAATCCGTATGAGGCACGACCAAAATTACTTACTTGCGGCCGTTTCGCTACTTCGTTTGAGAGTCCCCTATCGTTTTCCAGCGGTTCCATCCTTTCCCGGGATGGCTGGCTTCAACAATGGCGTTTTGGGTTCCATGCTAATCTGCCCAGGCAGTAATTGGTACCCCCCTTGGCCTTACGCATGCTGAGTCAAAATCAGCCTTCTGAAGCGGATGCATCTCGGAGATTTCCATTCGATGTCCATTACCAGGCTTGTGTTTTCATAGATACATCTCAAAGAGAAGCTTGGTCATGGAAATGGATAGATACAAGACATCCTTCTCATAGCTTGTGTGTTCAATGCTTCATAGATACAAATAAGACATCCAGCAATGGACCATGCGCGAACTCGGATTGTAAATTCAGGATGTCGTCTGTTTTTGAGGGAACCTTCTCAGGGGTGGTTCCCCTTTGGCCTGCCTCAACCCCCGCGCCGAACAACAAGTAAAACCCCCCCCCCCACCCCTCTCTGTTCAGATCCCCTCCAAACAACAACCCCTCCCGCCCCTTAATTAATCGTAGGTGTCCTTGACCTTTCGTCACCAGGGCCATCTATTTTCCCAAAAGGACACCTTCACCTGTCTGCCATTTCTACAAACTGTCCACAACCTGAAATAAGAATCGGAGCCCCAAGTAAAGGATCTCTACCATGGTGAGCTCGCGATTGATGTATGCAGACCTATGCGGTGCCCCCAAACCGTTCCCCCGCCTTGAGAGACTGCAAAGGCTTTTCAGCTCGGAGGTCCCAGGACTCGACAAAGCCATTGTCTCCGCAGCAGCTCAGAACCGGCAGCCTGGGGTGCCTGCTCGAGTAGCTTCCTCATTTGAGGTTGTACCTTTTTAAGAGGGGTACCGGGGTATCTCCACAAGAACCAGGGGTTCAAATCCCCAACCATCCAAACCACCGATGAAGGGATACCAGACTACTTCCATGTCGATTCAGGTGGCTCAGGACTTCTGCCAGGGACCATTTGAGGTGCCTTTTCTCAGCTGCCCCTTAGGGATCCAGAAACTGAAGGTGATCAACTCTTGGCAGCTTTACTAAACATGGACCAACATGGGAACCAAAAGGTCAACAGGTCAATTCGCTTTGGGCAAGCGAGTTTTGGTTGGTTTCAAAGGAATGCCAAATGGAAACCGTTGCCATTTTGGGGGGTTCCCTCATTTTAAGACACACTGATTCTTGTTTCCCAGGGATCTCCCTCAGAAACCTTCGCATCTCTGGGGGCCATCCAAAACAGTTCACTCCCCGGTGCAGGTTCACTCACATGATGCCAAAGCACTTTGGATGTGGATGTCGAACTCACGATTTTGTCACTTCCAACCGATTTTTGTTTCTCGCAAAAGTGACCCTTCTGCCGAAGGTCTGCTAGCTTCGTGCTTTTGTTGCCGGTGTGAGGGGCAAACGGGGGTTGCCATTTCCCCGGCTTGGAAGGGAAAAAGATCTCGGATCGATCCGGCCACGGTGACTCGAGTTTGGAACGAAAACTGACGTCATTTGAAGCTAGGCCGCTGAGAAAAGGACGCGTCCAGGTGTCCTGCAAGGTTCTATGACTAGAGAGGTCCTTATGGCCAAGAGTCCCGAACTAAGCTCACCACTCAGATTGAGAGTCAGCTAAATCGTTACCAATCTGGGGAATCAGCCACGAATCGATTTTAATATGGGTTGCCCGAACAAATTATTGGGCATATTGTTGTCCCCGCTTGTGCTCCGGGTAGCGTGGAGGGTCGCGGTTAGTGCTCCAACATGGGCTAACTTTTTCTCGGTTGCTTTTTGCTCCCCTGCAAATTAACTTTGAGTGGTTTAATACGGAAACCCCATTTGGCAAACAGTTCAAGTCCTAACATCCCTTGGCAACATGCAAAGTTTCACTTGGGGAAAAAACCGTGCGGGTCGCATCCAGGCTGATGGTTGCTCCGAGCCACACCGCCACGTCGTTCACCTCGCTGAGGTCCTTGGAGTCTAAAGGCGCCAGGAAGGTCCCAGCCTCCAGGTCCAGCCTCGGGGATGGTGGAGATGGGGTCCCCCAAGCCCTTGTATACATAGGGGAAACATGGAATACATGGAAATCCAGGGGAAATAATCCCGGCAATTGTCATTTGTCTAATGGGGCTATGCGAGTACTCAAGTGAGTCATAACCAAAATCTGGCATTAAAATGGTCTACACTGGAGTGGATGGACATAAAGTCCAGAAACTTTTGGGGGGGTGGTGAGGTGCTTGGTTGGACGTGGGCTAAGCCGCCGAAAAAAAAAAAAAAAAAAAAAAAAAAAAAACTGGGGCTTAACTGGCTTTAGGAGACGAAGTCTTTGCAACCTTCTTTAGCCAACCTCCAACAGCTAAATATTCGCCATAAAACTAGGAGTTTCCAAACAAGCAATCCTCGGAGTTTGGGTTTCAAGGGCTCCTCGTGAAATAGACACGAAGTGGCAATTCCCGGATCCCAGCTACCGCTATGCTAGGTAACCGGCCATGTTCCTGTTGGTGTTTCAAGGGCAGGTTCCCATGGTTGCCTGTTTCGAGCTTGCGTGTCAAGCTCGGGTGTTTGAACCAGCTTATTTGTCCTGGGTTTTCCAAGTCGGGTGGTTTCCTTTAGTTGAAGTTGGCTCCAAAAGGAATCGGCACAGCATGGCAAGCAGAAAGCATGTGGAAGGGAGACACCGTTAGATATTTAGATTCATTCACCGACGTGAAGGTGCCGCACCAGCGAAACCCCGTTGCACAAAGCACTCCACGGAATTGGGCCGATGGGCAAACAAGAGTCCGACTGTTCAACTCATATGGCATCCAAGAGAGGTGGGTGTACCTGTGACATCAGCACCAAGCCAAAATACGGACGTCCAGGAAGTTGTTGAACATGTTGCTTGGGAACTCACAGAATGTAGTTTCAACTTCAGTACACTTGCTTATAAATTCATGCTCGCTGCCGACAAGTTTGGCCAATACCCCTGCAGCTTGCAGCTTTGCGTTTCTTGCCATTCCCTTTGATTCCATTTTCCTGTACCATTGCCCGTGATTTCGCGCAATGTGATTCACCAATGGTATTGAATGCTGTGCATTTCGTGCCCAGGCACAAGGACAATCCAGCTCCAAAGCTCTAGCCCGAGGTTTCGAGAAGAAAACAAACTCTTTCAACCTAGAGTTTTGCAGTGTGAGCTACAAGGCCTGTTCTTGGTGCGGGATGAATGCATAAGGTGGCTCAGCCCTAGCAAAAAGAAGACATGCAAAGATCAAAAGTCCTAAGCTACACTAACTGCTACGGTCCTAGCCTGAACATAAATGAACGTGTCAGAGTGCGGTTGCGTAAATAGATTGAGAAGAATCGCATAATCGCATAGTAAACCCCAGTAAATCCTCCTTCAGCCCCAAGTACAGCCCATCGATATGCAAAGCTGGAACTTGGTGGGTCTGTCTTTTTGAGTGACCCCCCCAAAAAAAGAAAGAAAGTGGTTTCCCTTTGCTTTCCCTTTGAACTAACCCTAAGAAAAGGGTCCCCTCAAAAAAAAGAATTCCGCAAGCCCAACCGGCCGACTCCGAGACTCTCCGTTTGCCCGGGACGAACCCCGCCTGTAGAGGGATGAGGAGGAGCCTCCCACGAAGAGCGTGCAGGACTCGCTCTCGTAGCTGAGGCTCCGCCCACCTTCCATTTGCTTTTCCGGTTCCTGGAAAAAGTAAGATATGTCCAGTATAGAGAAAATAACTTAAATATTAGGCATATATGCATATTTCCATATTCCCATAGTATTCTAACATAATAACATACATCCAGCATTTGCAGGCAAATTCCCTTTAAAACCAACAGGGGAAAATCAAAAAACATATTCTTAAGCAAATGGAAGCCTCGCGACTCGCCACTCGCCGCCCACTGGTGAGCGCTTCCCTCGTTTGGTGGTTTGGTGGTTCGGCTTGGTGGGTTTCAGGAGGGGTTTCCAATGCAAACCTCTGCAAGATCCAGGAATTTGCAATTAACCTCTCCAAAATTCCTAATAATTGGTGGTTTGGCGCCGAATCGGTGGTTTGGACATTTTCTGGCAGCTTTCCCATTGGACAAAAAGAAGCTGGGGTTCAAATCGAACTGCAAACCACCAAGTCACTCCGCCAAAGGGTCACCTGATTCAGCTTCCTATACAGTTGGTGGTTTGGATTGGTACAGTAGTCATGAGAATCGTAATGGGGTGGTCGGAATGAAGCGTTTGGGAGTCACTGAAAGGAAACCATAGGGGATGGGAGATATCAGGTAACCCTTAGGTTTGCCTTGATGCTGGGTGGTTTGGATTGGTTTGGGATTTGAGTGTCTGGATCTTACAGAGGATTTGCATGGAAAATCCCTCCTGAAAACTACCAAACCACCGGGATCCAAACCACCAATGAGAGGGAAGCTGACCAGTGGCGGGAGACACGCTGGGGGCCGCCATTATTCGCTGTGATCAATTGGTATGACCGGTGGCTTCTGAAATTCACAGCCCTAGCGCCTACCAAAAAACACAAGGCAACGCACGTGTGGCTGGTGTGGCTATCTGGTTAACCCCCAACCAAGCCCCGAGCAAAAGGTGGTCAACCACCTGTGTCAAGGGTCAAACACCTGCCAGGGTTACAATCCAAACGCAACCGGATGTGGGTCTGTGGCCAACTCTATAAGGGTGTGGTCAAAAATAGGACTAAACTCCAGAATGCTTGCGAAGCACATCGGTAAATGGAAACAAGAACTGAAACCTGCGGCCCATCGGGTGAAAGATTTTGACCCATACCCAGTTGGGTCACTTCCTGGATGGATTGGCCAAAAGCAAAGGAACTGTTTGTTTAAAGTAACAGTCTTATTTGTGTTGTTGTTCTTTAGTGTTTGTTTTGTTTTTGTTTAGGAAAAAAATGCATTTTGTTTGTCACCAAATTTGGTCTTCCCAAAAAGCGACTCAAGTCCGTGGACTCAAGATGTGAGATGCCGATTCCGATATCCGAGGGACTCTTGTGACCAGATACAAACGGTGACGGCGGAAAGTCGATCTACGGAGAGCCTTCGCCTTCCCTTTGCTTCCCCCGATTTGTTTTTCTTTTAACAACAAAAAACATCACCCCACAAGAGGTGGAAAACATGTGGACAAAAAGGACACTCACTTCGCATGGCCGTTGTGGAACATGACAACCTTTTCTGTGATTGCCAAATGGGCCATCGTTCCGACTGTGCGGATTCTTGCAAAGAGGATTCCCTTGCTCGCTAACCAAGCGGCGGCGAAGCAGGGCGCTCCTTCTGGGTTGGGTACTCCCCTACAAATTCGCATGGATTCCCAAAATGGCGTCCTGCAAAAGGAGATGCCTCTGAACATGGTGGGTTTTGGGGCTCCATGTTAAACAGGGGCGTAATTTTAGGTGGAAACCGAACAACTGGTACTGGGCAAGGTCCAGTGACGGGGCTCTCTGAGCTTGCGGCACTTTGGAATGCGCAGGCGGTGATGACGGCCGTACTGGGAATGGAACTCCAGCGTGCGGTCATCCATCAGCAGAACCTTGTGACCAAAAAGGGTTCGAGGGCTATGGGGGTGGAGGCCTTGGTAGGTTAAAGGTAAAACAACCCCAGTCGCTGACTGGGGAGAACCCAAGTTACACAACAACATACCCTGATGGGGGCGGGGGGTTCCTGGAAGACCATTTTCCTTTTAAAAGGGACCCCATGGCAGATTGGGAGGGTAACGGGAAAATCCGTGAAAAGGCCTTGTTTGAGGTTTTGGGGGCAAGCCTCCCTTTTCATAGAGCAATCTGTAAGTTCCCCGTGTCCGATTCCCCGCATCGACCGTCAACTGTTTTTTCCTCTGCAACATCCTGCAAAAGCAAGTCACACTCTCCACCCACCAGGGCGCGGCGCTCAAACTGGGGAAGCCGCTGACACAAGGGATCCCAAAGCAACAGGAGCCATAGTGCCATAGGGTCAATGGACAGGTTGGGTCATGGCCGGAAAAAAAAGCAATCCGCAAACAACCGGAGCTCTTTAAGGGCCAAAGAGTTCCCCTTCCCCTTTAGGTCTTGGTTCGTTGATCCAACTTGCCAATTGGGTGGGATGTGCCGTTTGAACCCCACGCAAGCTGTGTTGAGTTCACTTTACTTGTCGCCCATCCTCCCAACACCTTCTGGATTTACTCTTTGGGCTCGGAATATGCATCTGATCACTCACTCTCCCTCTCTTTCTCTCCATCCCCCCTACCACAAGGTGGGGGGTCCCCCAATTTTCCATTTTCTAGTATTCCCCACAAAGGGACAGTGGATTCATAAATGGACTTCCAGAAATCACTCCCCTCCCCCAATTCCCTTTTAAGGGGGTGGGGGTCTGTGAACTGAAAAAACAAAGCCACACCGACAATGCTTCGTGTGTGACAAGGCGCCAGCTTCTTCCAGTCTTCCGACAGGGGCAAGACGTCCACGGCCTCGGAGTCGAGGCCACCTGAGAAGGGTCGCCCATCGGCCATCTCAACGAGCGCGCCTACGGCGATCGATTCGGTACGTCAGGTAAGCGGGTAGTAGGCCTGGTGAAATCAGGTAAGCGGGTAGTAGGCCTGGTGAGATAACCCACTGAATGGAGACTTAAATAAACATGATTATAACCCACCAAAGCCATGGTTATAAGTCTTGTAACCATGGCTTTGGTGGGATATAGTCATGCTTAACCACGCACTAAGTACGATGCCCCTTTAAAGAGCCCACCAGTTGTTCAGCGGCACGCGTTTTGGGGGTTTTGTGTGGGGAAGCCACGACAAAAAGGGTTATTTTTCGGGTGCCAAGAACACACATTCTCCGACACCTCCAAGCAGCGCTTTCTCTTTTCCCTTCCACACAAAGAAACTGTCGGTCGTCCAAGTCTTGAGACCAACATGAGAACGAATTCGGGTTTGCTTTTGGGGTCCTTCTGAGTTTTGCAGCTTCCGACCAGGCCAAGGCACGAAAACATTTCATGCCCAACTCCTTGAGGTCAAAGATCCGCAGCTCCTATCCCGAGATCAGATCCGGGCGTGTGCCAAAAATGGATAACCCAACTCAGACACCAAACTCCTAATGAGGTGCCTTACCAACTGCTCTTTGATTCTTGGGGTTGGTCTGGTTGTTCTGTTTAGAGCCAGGAACCAAACATGAGGCTACCTAGAGGTTGGGAATGGAAGGTGGCGAGAAAACAAAAACAGCTTGATCCCTCAACCCAGGTTTTAGCTTCCAGTGACCAAGTTCCGGTTTTACCTGGTCCCGATCGATTTACTTGCATGCCGACTGACAAGTCATTTCCCTTTGATACTCCTACACATCAACATAGAACCCAGAAAACACCAATTTCTAGAGGAAGCTCCTCTTGTGCAATGGAGCCCCTGTTTGTCTCACCAAGAAGTTCCAGGAGTCTCGCGAAGACTGTAAAACTACTCCCCAGATTCAATTGGAACCCCAAAACCCAGCACTTGTAGAGGAATCTCCTGAATGGACCAACCCATTTGGGTTCCTTCCGTTCTATAGAGTAAATGACTTGCGATCGGTGCGAGTAGGGAATGTGGTTGAATGAACCCAGGCTTTGGTCCCTCAAAGGACACCCAACTCATTCCCATCTCTCGCACCAGCAAAATCTGGACTGCCCTCAGATCCGCTGCTGAAAGTTTAGCTTTTAGTGGGTCAAAATGGAAGGCCCCACTAAACCACAAAAAAGCTACAAAAGCTAAGGAACCGGATGGCTAGGAGTCACCAAGAAATGATTAACTCACTGCTAGGTCCTCCAGTAGAGAGGTTAGAATAAGGGTACCAACTTTTTTCTGTAGTTTATGTTAGTAGGGGAACCCTCCCAACCAACAAAAAAAAAGGAGGAGAAATGGCACCTAGCTGGGGGACCTAGACTGGCTCTGGCCCCTTTCGGTTGACTTGAGGTTTTTGGGAAGGTCAGGGACTTGGAAAAAAGTTCACGGCGAACTCCTACGAAATAGATCGCACCGGACATGATGAGCACCAAGCCCATCATTTCAACTCCCACGTTGGTTTGGATTCATGATAAAGCTATTACCAGTTAAACATAAGAACCGAGCTAAAACCACAATCTACCATCAGCCCACCTAAGAAACTTGTAAAACAATTGAGAACTGCAGTGCAACCACTATCCACCGAGCCAAACTAACTTAGACGCCTTAGCCCAGGCCCGGGCGGTTTTTCTTGGCCCTCGTCTCCCCTTCAATTCGCGTCGCAAGCTTTTTCGCGTCTCCGGCGCGTAGATGCCGGTGGCCAGCACGTGGTTTCCATCCGCGGTGATCCGAACCCTCGAGGATGCCACGTTAAACTCGAAGTCCTGCCCATCCGCGCCGGGCTTCATACCGATCTCCGGCCGACCCGACGTCCCCAACCTCTTTTGCCTTACATGGGTGTGGCAACGTCATTTTTTTGGTGGCCCAAAAATGGGTTGCAAAGCTGGTTCGGTAGATGGAAACAAGGACACAAATACTTGCGGTCTGATTCCTGGTGGTATTCTTTTGAGCCATAGCCACTTGGGATTTTGGACAGACCAAACAGTTGGGCTGGGCTGGTAGACCTTCCTCGGGCAAAATTAATGTTTCGCTCCTGGTTCGCTGTTGTTTGCTCCTGTTCTGCCGGGTTACCGCTCGTTTCCACGTTTGTTTTCGCTCGAAATCCGCAACAAGCAACAACAAAGTTGCTTAGAGCTCCCCAAAAGTGGCCGAATGGAAGGTCCAGGTATAGCCTGATGATGGTTTATGGCTGGGTCACAAAGCCTACATAGCCAGTAACATGTACACACTTTGCCTTTATGATATATAGCCTTCCCCCCCGGCCCCGGACATGTATTTATGTTGCCAGAAAGTCTGGGCAAATGACTCCACAACTCAGTGAATCTGACCCCCCCCCAAAAAAAAAAACGGGGGAAGCCTGAGGCAAGCTTCATTGAGGTGGCGCCATTCCGGAGGTGAGCTTATCAAATTGTGGCAAACGTCCCCATGTTCCATTTCCAGGACCTCGGGGCTCTCTGGGGTGAGCTGGAGAAGAATCGCCGACGAGCTCGAACTGGAGGTGCTCGCGTGACAAGTTCGAAGTTGAGATGCTGACGAAGCAAGCGCTGGCCTCTTTGATTCACCGAGAAGTGAAACTTGTGCCCCAGGCGTCAAAACCAGAAGGAGGCCCAACGCGGCACACAAAGCCAAAATGGATTTCTCAGTCGATTTGCCTGTCAAAATGGCTTCCACCCCAAACCACGACTTCCGGCGGAACATTGGTATTCACGCTTTTACATAGTGCCCAGTCGCGCTAAACTGGACAGCTTGGGTTAGCGGGTAGTGGAACCATCTTAGATTGTCAGTCTACGTGCCTAGATGACCCAAATCTGCAGCAGCTTGGCCAGAGGGGAGGGCTTGATTCGTGGTATCCTGGTATCCCTCTTAGGCCAACGAGCGCCAACGAGTGTTCCATTTAGGATCCAACCCAACTTGCATTCGAAATAGCTCGAAACCGTTTGCCCTGGCTCTCCTACCCTTTCCTCAACCAGCCCTCGCTATGTTGAAGGGCACCTCTTGCTTTCAAAACGCAACCAGCAAGCGAACCAGGTGACTCTGTTTTCCCACCCCCAACTTGTCTTTGGGCCTCCATGTCATATCCCACCAAAGGAATCAACTAAAAAACTCCCAAGGCCCCACACCTAGCTCGGGACGCGAGTCGAAATTCATTTTGACCGCCATGTTCCTGTCTTTGGGGCAGGGAAAATCATCCAACCAGATTCGACCGGGGGAATTCCAACCAGGATCTATGCAAATCCGATTCGGTAGAAATCCAACCAGAACCCAATCATGAAACAATCCCCAATCCAACTCTTGGCATTTGACTTACTTCCCGAGTAGATGGCTCTAAAAAAGCTCGAAACCAACTTTTGCCCATCACTAAACTGGTCTTCCCAAAAAACAGGTTCAGAAACTCGGGAAGTGAGTTGAAGGGTGGTTCCCATGACTAGGTCCTCCAGAGAGGATAGAAGAAGGGTACCCTTCTTTCTGTAGTCTATTTTCGCAACAAAACCCTCCCAACCAAAAAAGAAAACCAGTAACAGGGTACCTAGCCGGATCTAGATGAGTTTCCCGAAAGCGCCCCATCCAACCGGAGTCCCCACTTTGGTCTCCTGGATCAAGTCGATCCTCTTCCGGAAGTCCTGAGACGTGTCACGGCTCGGAGGCTCCAGTCACAGCTCGGGTGGGTGGGTCCAAGCGGAAAGGGACCTGCAACTGGGCCGCCTGTTTTCAGATCCGCGGAAGGTGACGAGTTTTTAGTGGGTGACATTCGGAAACTACCGCTGAACACTAAAAGGCTCAAAAGCTAAGGGGATGGCTGGGAGCCACCAAGGCAGAATTTGGCCGGAGGAACAGGGAACTAGAATCGGCTTCTTGCATATGGCGCGGGAGGAGCTAGTTCAGGAGGAAAAGGGAACCTCCAAAAATGGATTCCAACGAAAAAACCGAAGGAAATGGGGCTGGCAAAGGCTTCGTTGTCTTGCTGGGCCAATGCTTTCACTGGAATTCCAAATGGGTGTCCGGAAAAGAATGAACATGATCCATCTGATTTCTTTTGGGGAAGATTTCACCATGGGTTGTTTAACACCCCAGGTTTCCCTTCAAGGAAGTTCCCGCATTTGAGGTGTTTCCGCGGTCGGGCTGCCCCTCTATCGAGCAACTCATCAACTACCTTCGGCAGAGGAAACATGGCGAAAAAGAAACAGTTTCCCAAAGATCGAAGGGGTAGACCGGCAATGTCCAAACATTCCACATTAAATGGCAACGGTTTCCTATGAGCGTGCCTTTACGCACCATTGAGCAAAAGGG